GCGAAGGTAGGTTAATGACTCTCCAAAACTTCACTAGGAACGTTGCGCGTGGCGCCTAAAGTCTTAGACCCCCAATCAATCCATGGCTCATGGCATTCAATCCAAGCCGTACCAAGGATGAGATCATACCTTGAGTCCAAATATCAATGACAAGACAGCGCTCAATGCTGTCAAAGTCTAAAAACTGTATACCTGAGATCAATGGAACTTTAGGCACAGTAAGACGACGTCCAGTCGCTAAATGAGCCGTGATAAAATCACCCTCATACGCTGTAAGCGCTTCAGCATAACGATGGCTTCCCTCAAGGGAACGACGTCGAGCGTAATTGCAAGATGCTCCATAGTCGATCAGTATCGACCAAGGCCTCTCAAAGTCCTCAATTTTCGCCTCAGCTACTAACAGGCCAGTCTTGTATCCACGCTCCATACCAATAGGTAAAGAGCTCTTTGGGGCTAAGCTCTGTTTAACTTTACCTCCTAAATGTGTAACAGAACCCAGTTCTTCCTCGGTAGGGCGCCCCGCGCCTACTTGGCGTCGGCAATTCCTCGTGCCATGCCAGACTTCTGGCTCGGGGTGGAGTGTTGGATTGTAGCCTGACGCTGTTTACGCAAAGAGCAACCAGGCCGCAAGTGTTTAGTGCTTCCGCACGTAAAAACATCGTCGTACGACGCGTTGCTGCTCGGCAGCTCGAAGTTCAAATACACCTTCATCTTCAGTATAGCTGAGATCCATCGGTTCCGGCCTGTTAAAGGCCGGACCACTTGTGGAATTTGCTCTCGCAGAGCTAGGGTTGTACCCATTCCAGCCAAGCCTGGCCGACTTGAAGTTATGCTCAGCATTAAGATCAATTCTCACGGCCTCTTCGAACGTAGAGGGATGAACCCGAAAAAATTCGATTCCGGCAATGCCAGTACGTAGACCTTCCATGAAGATGGTCACATGAACTGCCTCGGGCAGAGGGTCGGACTGCATTGCAGCCTTGAGAGTTCTCACCTCTTGGATATAGATTGATAATTCATTCTTACCCTGAAGGGTAGAAAGAAGCGTGAACGCACGCGGTAAACTTGGTTAGGTGGTGAGAACACCTGTGCCGATTGTTACTTTAGCGACTCCCGTGTGGGAAACGCTTAGTCAACCGACGTGATACACGTTAAGGCCCATTCTCTAGCTCTTCCATCGATCTTTGAGATAGCCAGCGAGATCTGTTAAGGTCAAGCTTGATCAGGCCTGATCTCATGGCCATCTCAATCTTACGGATCCAGAGGATGAGGTTTTCACCCTTCTTAACGGAGTAGTACTTAACTTCCACTCTAAGTGAACGAGGCCTAGCCTCTTCATCTGGTACAGACACATAGCGTGTAGGCATAGACGACGCTATTTGGTCCTGGACCTTCCCTAGAAGGGTCGCTTTATACTGCATGAAGCCTTCAACACGTGCATCAGCACCTCAGGGCCTTGTGAGACAAGAAACTCCACGTAATCTGGACCCAAAGAGGATGTCAGCTAACCAAGCAAGACCTCTTGGGCCTCAAAGAGGGGAGTGGTGTTTTCTATCCTCACAGAGGATCAGTCTAAATAGACTCAGGCGTAGATTGACTACAATTGCGACCAAGTGTAGCGGAGCTACACAGCTCCTTAAGTCAGAGGAAAACGTAACGCTCAACGAGCTACTTAGTTCTAAAGAACTGGAATTTATGAGTCAACAAGTGTAAAGCTAATGGTCCCTGTTTCAGGGGACCAAACGATTCAGTGACTCGACAGCACGTAGTGCTCACGAGTAACTAGCTACCTCAGGGAGGTGTTGCGAACTCTTAGTGATCAGCGATCAATGATCAAAAACGCCTCGCAAGGCACGTGTCATTAGGATGAAAAGGGGAACTGCAAAATATCTTCATTTAATCCAATAGGATATCTTATTCCTTGTTTTACCTAATCTAGACACTTGTGTCCTAAGCAAGGACGACTAAGATCTCTCCTATCTATTTAGATCTTGGTGGTGCTAACTTAAGACATAAGTGTCCAGATTGGGTATTATCTCCTATCTGGCGACTGACACCAGTGAGCCCCTATAAACCCGTAAAATTTCTTCACCTCTTCCTGCTTGACTGCGACCTGGATCAAGTGATCACGGCCAGCCGATCACTGTTTAAAGCGCTGGTCCCACTGACCGGCAACTATGACTCCGCTGATCACAAGCTCACGACCAGTATCATGGTCAAAAAGGAAGACTGTTTGTCAGCGGCGTCGTCACATTACGCTTCTGCGGAGTCGATTGCGGACGATAGCGACGGCTTCGAAATAAAGCGTTTGTTGTTAGGACCTTGCGGTGCATCACTTTTACGTGACCACCGCGAGCACCCGACTCCAACTACCGGACCGTTGAGACTAACCACGGAGCCACTTGATGCTACGGATGACACCGACCAGATGCAAATCTACTTTGCAAAGGCCATGAAAAATTCATGCGAAACCAACAGCGACGGCCGCTACGTTCTGAGCCGACTAGTAGCCCCAACCCAACCACAAGGTGTTCGGGGTAGGTATGCCAGACACGGACATAATCCGGCTGACTCGCATGGTAGTCGCGGTAACACCTTTGCCCTGACGACCTCAACATTGAGGGCGTCCGTCGACCTCACTTGGCTACTACGGAAGCCATTATGGGAGAAGAATTTGCTGCGCAGCGGATTCGCATGTTTGCGATCGCCGATCTAAAGAAGTTTTTAGACGCGATAATGATGATGACCGCACTCGGAGCTGGGTGCGAAAGGTCAAATCAGCTTTCTTGCGTGAACAATCCCCCGATTCGGAGAAGTGTTTGTTTTTTTAAGATTCGCTAACAGGCCTAGCACGAAACTTGTACTCCCACCTAAGCCGATCGACGAGCAATAAGTGGAAATACTTGCTGGAGACTTTTCTACTACAATACTGTGGATCAGGCATCTCTGCTGGTCGCCAATATTACCACGCCCGCAAGCGTGCCGATGCATCTCCGCTTGAATACCTCTATCGGTTAAACGTTGCTGGGATGCGAGCGGAAATCCACGTGAAGGACGAGAACGTCGCTGAGAGCCGAGAACACGTGGAACACTCTATCGAGACAGTGAAAGACCACAATCTTGCAAAGCAATTTATCTTGCTGCGTTTGGACGACGTATATACGCTGGAGTTAACGCTGCACACATATGAACGTATGAAAAAGCGCAAAGGCAATCTTCCGATCACTTCAGGCAAGTTCCGCTCACGATCAGCGTCGCCATCCTCTCCGAGTCCATTCAAACAGGCTCGAGATGTGCGCGCAATCCACGTGGGGGGCGAGAGCAGTTCGTCGGAATCCGATATAAGCAGTGCGGAAACAGACGAAGAACAACGACGTGTTTACAGCGCCACAGCAGCCGACCATATGAAGGACCGGGGAAATGATCGTCCGACCAAAATAAGATCGAACGACTGTGAACGTGATCACGAGCATGCAGAAGGGCACAAGTCTTACACTTATTGTGGGTCTAAAAGACACGATGACAGGGGATTCTGGAAACGCCTGGCTTGTCAGAAATGCGGGAGCCGAGGTCACCCCTCCGACAAGTGTTTCTACGAATTCGCAGCATGTGGAAAAGTGCACGACGGGGGCAACTGCTCGATGGAATTTTTTTACCAAATGCTTTGCAAGTGGTACGTACCGACAAAGCACGCCGGAAAATTTCCTTCCGACGCAGAAAAGATGTTAAACTAGGACGCTCGCCAGGTTGAAGCCTGGTACGAGCCGAGCTTTCCAGGCTATAAATATAAACTTTTGCTGAGAAAGGAGGGGTTAATAACAGTGTTTATCGCCTGACCGGCCGGACCTTCAGTACATGTGATTTGGATTCTAGTTCTTTTCCATTAATTGCAAGTTTGCGGCGATCGGATGAATACGCACGATCACCTCCAAAGATGGAGCTTAAATTGTCTCCTGGCGAATCACGTGGTTACTGGAAGTACCATACTCCATACAAGTGGTTCAGGCAAGCTAAGGCGGGGGGAAATATTAACAATGAGAAGGCTACCCTATTGTTTGACTCGGGAGCTGAAGTCTCAATTATCGACACCACCGTTGCTCGTAAGGTTGGCTGTTTCATAGATGAGAGTCAGAAGCAAGAATACGTGGGTATCGGGGAAAATTCATACATGGCAGAAGGCCGCCTAAAGCTGAAGAGTACGCTGAATGACTCATTAGTTTACTACTTTACTGTATGGGTGGGTTACCAAGTGGGACAAGGAGCAATTTTAAGGATGAATTTCATGGTACCGGCTGGATACGCCTTGACCTGGCAGACGAAAAAGTGTGTTTGCCGGACGAAGTCAGAATTCAACTGGAAGGTAGGAGATCACCGTATGATGCGAAGATACAACAAATTACTTCGGATGAGAAGTATTTAGCGATACCGGTGGGTGACTCAGTGGAGTTCAATGTTGGTCGGGGACCACTGCAGTCGAAATTGTAATTACCGCGCCACGCACGTTGGGCGCCCACGGCTATGACCGGACCCGTAAGACTTACGTACCTCCGCCTAACTAACCTAATCGATCAAGAGGTGATTATCCAACAGGGAATGCCGTTCGGGCAAAAAATGCTGGCGGAAAAGTTACTACGGTCACCCGGGTGTGTGTCGGTAGGGTCACGTCGATATCAGGAGTGGCAAACACTTGCATACGAAGCTTCTACAGATAGAGATGAAGCAGAAGAAGTACCGGAAGCAGAAGGACCGTTGGTCGAACGCCAGTCTTACCCAACACCAACGCAGATTCTAAAACGACCAATACAGGATATGGTAGAGATGACCGCGGGGAGAGAGGAAGCGGAATGGGAAAACAATGTGCCGACATGTGACCAGGTGAATGACCAGGAGGATCACAACCAAAACGATCACCATTAGCTATTAACGCGATCACCACACGTGATTCGGGATATGATTCGGTTCATGATCGGCAGGAACAAACGAATGAATCCCAGAGAGAAATGTCTACGCGATCACCAACGTCCGCCGACTTGGTCAGCCCCATTAATGCAATGAATGATACGAAGTTGGTGCAAGAGCAGTCCAAAACGCACCCACACGAGTGTGAAGAGAAGCTTACTCCCGAATCGATCACGAATATGTTACCTGATCGTATGCAAAACAAGTCCCCTGATTCCCCGGATGGAATTACTGTTGGGAGTGGGGAAGTGTGTCGACCGCCCGACCATCTGGGATACCAAGAAGCAGCAATTACCGGTGAAGGAGAACAGGAGTGCACGTCATACCAACACGCAGTTGGAAAATTGTTCGTGGAAGATGTTGGCCAACACATGGCAGTCTTACCGGAGGTGGACACGACGCTATGCGAGATGACGATTGAGGATTTACAGGTGAGCGAACCAGGGGTTCCATTGACGAAAGAGCAAGAAGAATTACGCCAGCTGATCCGGAAGAAAAGACATCTGTTGATGGGCAAGGGAAACTCCCTCCCGCCTGCGGCTCGAGGCGGTATATGTGACAAAGATGTGGGAGGGGCGACCCCAACGAACAACCATACACTTCTTGGTCCGAGTGCAACACGCAAAGTGAATTTATATTTATAATGGTTACTAATTTCGCAACTTTGAATACTACCTCTGAGCCTAGTATTCGCAGTGACGTCATCCACTGACGTCACCCACTGACGTCATCCACTGACGTCATTTCCTGACTTCGCCCTTACTGGTACAAACCGGTACCCACCACTATATTGAAGCTTGGTCTTCGGCTTGCTTCAACACTTGACGCAGCTTGACGAGGTGTCTTCTTCACAGCCGCCGTCGTTCCAACACTCCCTCTCGACTCGTTAGCTGCGTCGTCTTGGATCCCGAGTCGATCGCGAATGTTTTCAAATTGTACAGCGGCGATCGGCTTGGTCATCATGTCCGCCAGCATATCTTGAGTCGGGCAATACTCCAAAACGACTTCGCCCGATTCCACCTTCTCCCGCACAAAATGGTAGCGTTTGTCGATGTGTTTTGTTCTCTTATGGAACTCCGGGTTATTGGCGAGAGCGATTGATCCTTGGTTGTCTTCATACATCTTGATCGCTTCGTCGCTTGTCATCTCACCAAGTTCCCCCAAAAGCACTTTGAGCCATACTGCTTCTTTGGTTGCTTCGGAAAGCGCCATGTATTCTTCTTCCGTTGAAGATAGCGCGACCGTCCGTTGTTTCTGGCTTTTCCAGCTGATGCAGCCTCCGTTCATCATGAACACATAGCCGCTTGTACTTCGTCTTGACTCATTGTCGCCGGCCCAGTCTGCGTCATTGAACCCGCTGATACGGCTTCCTTCTTCACGTGTGAACTCAAGACCGTGATTGGGCGTTGCTTGCAGGTATATCGGCACACGCTTCAAAGCTTTCCAGTGAGTCGGGCATGGGTCGGACGAGAACTGGGATAATGATCCCACTGCAGCAGCTAGATCCGGACGTGTGGCGACCATGAGATACATGATGCCTCCGACAGCACTTCGATATGGCACGTTGCACATGGTGTCTTCGTGCTTGCATTCTTGGTCACACATGTTCTTGGTGAGCTTCAGACCGGTATCTTGAGGCGTCTTCACTGGCTTGTTGTTATCCATTCCGAACTTGGTCAACACGGACTTGAGGAACTTGGTTTGTTGTACAGTCACCATTCCCGTCTTGCGGTCGTTCTTGATCTCCATGCCGAGGAAGTAATCGAGCTCACCGAGATCCGTCATTTGAAGCGTGTGCTCAGCGCCATCTTGGTCGACTTGAGTAGTTCGTTGCTGCTGCTGGCCAGGATAAGATCATCAACGTAGAGCACCACGAGAATCTTGACTTGGTCGTCTCGCTTGATGTAGATGCAGTGGTCCGATTCGCACTTCTTGAATCCCATCTTGATCATGAACTCATCGATCATTTGGTTCTACATGCGTGGTGATTGCTTCAAGTTGTTCAGCAATCTCTTTAGCTTGCCCACATATTCCGGCTGTTTAGCATACAGGTATCCTGCCGGTTGGTCCATGTAGATGTCTACATCGAGGGAGCCGTTCAGGTACGCTGTCTAGACGTCCATCTGATGTAGCATTAGGCCGTACTTGGCCGCCATGCTGAGCACCACACGAATCAATGTGAACTTGGCCACTGGTGTGAAAGTTTCTTCATAGTCAACTCCGAATTTCTGTGAGAATCCTTTGGCCACAAGTCTTGCCTTGAAACGTTCAACTTCGCCATTTTGATTCTCCTTGACACGAAAAATCCATCGGCACCCGATGGCTTTGCGATCTTTCGGAAGAGGCACGATCTCCCACGTGTCGTTTCTCTGAAGCGAGTCGAACTCCGAGTCACAAGCTTCTTTTCACTTGCCAGAGTCGCTTGATTCCATCGCCGACTTGAATGTAGTCAGCATTTCCCCCACTGAATCAACGATGTAGGCTGCTTCAAAATCTATCGCAGCCGCTGACACATGCTCAAGCGACGGACCTCTGCACGTTCTTCACTTGGGACTTGGAATGACGGTAGCTTTCTCAAGTGATTGAGTGCGCGTGTGTCTCTTGATGTTGCTCTTCGAAGACCTGGTGTCTTCGTCTTCATCGTCGCTCGAGTTCATGTCGACGTCAGTTTTACCTTCTTCTTTCTCTACGTCCTCGTCTTGATTGTCAAATTCAACGGCACTTGACTCATCGTTGTAGTTGCGCGGACCTTCATCAAACTTGTCTTCCATGAACGTGGCATCGCGACTGATTTTGATCGCTCCTGTTGACACTTCCTAGAATCGATATGACTTCTGGTGTTCGGCGTACCTCAGGAAACGACAGAGTGATGACTTGGAGTCGAGCTTTGCGCGTTTGTCGAGAGGCACTGGAACATACGCGTGGCATCCAAACACATTAAGGTTGGCCAGAATCGATTTCTTCATCGTCCACACTTGATATGGAGACTTGCCTTGGTGGATGGCACGTGTTGGACAGCGGTTTCGAAGAAACATTGCCGTCATCACTGCTTCACCCCAGTAGCTCTTTCCCAGTCCAGCATGTTTCATCATACAGCGCGCACACTCGACCAGCGTGCGATTCATTCTTTCAGCAACTCCGTTGAGCTGAGGAGTATACGGAAGTGTTAACCTTTGTTGTATCATCCATTCCGCGCAGAATCGTGCCAACTTGTCGGACTTGTACTCACCCCATTGTCGCTTTGGAGGTACTTCACGCGCTTTCCGGTTTGTATTTCGGCCATCGCAGCGTATTCCATGAACTTCACCGCAACTTCAGATTCGCTCTTAAGCAAAAACACGACACAGTATCTTGACTTGTGTTAAGGGTATAGCACGGGAGTGACGAGAAGACCGAAAGAGATCGGAGGGAAGGGAGCGAAGAGGCTTGAGGAGCAGAGCAGAGAGGACTTGCTCGGCAGAAGGAGAATTCGAAAGTGATTAAGTATCGGGGCTTACTACTTACTACTTACTACTTGATTTATATGTGATGTACATTACATGTGAATCGTCTCATCATCCCACGCGTCTAATTAACTATGCTAATTACCGTAAGAACTACGTCGTAAATACTAAGCAAAGCAGACGGTTCGGATTTAACTGGTCACGGTTACCAATACTAATAGGAAACCGATGACCGTCCACAGAACCTACTTCGTAAGTCTGTCTTCTGGGCGTCAGCTAATATCTGGGATCTCCTCAAATAATGATCAAATCCCACTCAATCACAACAGAGCGCGTGCCTGTATATCTAAAATATGTTTTTTATATACTGTGAGTCCCTTGGGGTAGGTGTCGGGATCGATACTGATCCTGGGATTTGAGCGTCAGCCAAAGCGATATCGTCGCAGATGTGCGAGGATGAAGGATCTACGGATCAACAATTTGAAAAGGGGCTTTTGTTAAAGTCTGAAGAGCACTTAATGAGAGTTTAGGAACCTTGAAGAATGCTGAAGAAGTCTGCACTGCAAAGTGTAGACGACTTCTACTGAAGAAGGAATGTTTGGAAGTGAATATATTCGTGGGTTTGTTTAAGCGACCTGATTTATCCGTGTCCTAATTCATATATGTTGCACATCTAAATCATAAATCATTTAGGTCATTCAGTCATCCCATGCGTCTAATTATTGGTAAGAACTCACCGTAATTACGCGAGATCGACTTGGACAGGTTTACGGTTTCCACTGTAGCTGATAACAGTACCTTAACCGTCAACCCACAATACACCCCCTCAATGCGAACACGCGTGTATGCCAAGCGCTGCCGTCAATTCCTTGTGATGCGGTCCTGGCAGTCCCTTCGTCATGATGTCCACCAGCGTCATCGTAGTCTCACAGTACTCCAACTTGACATCACCAGGCTTGACTTCATCACGAATGTGATGGTACTTGATGTCGATGTGCTTGGTCCGACCATGGTTCACAGGATTGTTCGTCATCTTGATGCACGATTGGTTATCTTCCATGATCTTGATCTCGGGTCCAGACTTGTCCTCTGCGGCATCCAGAATCTTGCATAATAGGCGATGCACCCACTTGCCTTCTTGAATTGCCAGACTTAGCGCGACGTACTCTGCTTCGCTCGTCGACAGCGATACATTTGATTGCTTTTTGCTTCCCCAGCTCACCGGAGCACCCATCAGGAAAAACGCATATCCTGGAGTCAACTTGCGGTATTTATGATCACCTGCCCAGTCTGCATCCGAGTGGCCACAGAAGTCCACCTTGTTGTCGAGTTTAAAGCAGATGTCGTGTGACTTGGTTCCTTGTAGATAACGAAGAATGCGATTGACTGCCATCCAATGCTCGACTTGGGGGTTCTCCATGAAGCACGAAACGTAGCCCACAGCAAAAGTAATGTCCGATCTTGTCGCGGTCATTTAGTGCATCAAAGCACCTACTGCCTCACGAAACGGAGCGTTGATCTTGGTGGCTGCGTCGCTTGGTGGGAGTCGAGAACTGATGTCCTTTGGGCTGATGACGGCCTTGCAATCACTCATGCCAAAACGCTTGAGAACATCTTACATGTATCGTCGCTGTCGCATTGTCACACTACCGTCGATGTTGTCCACCAGCTCGATGCTCAATACGAACGCGCACTTGCCGCTGTCAGTCATCTCATAAGGCATCTTCAAATCACTCTTGGTTCGCGCAATTGTATCAGTCGAACTGCCCGTTTATAACACATCATCGATGAAGACCAACAACAGCACGCACTGTCCGCTTGCGACCTTGAGATAGAGGCATGGGTCAAAGTCGGACGCTTGAAATCCAATCGAGCAAACGAATTCAAGAAAAGTCTTGTTCAATACGCGCGATGCTTGTTTCAGTCCGTAGATCGCCTTCACCAATTCGAAGCAGTCAAAGTCTTCACCAATGTCGACACCTTCTGGGATCGCGCGGAAAACCCTTCCATTCATCTCTCCGTACAGGAAGGCTGTCACCACGTCCAGTTGGTCCAGTGACCAGTCGAAATACTTGATGAACGCGATTACCATGCGCAGCGTCACGTACTTCACCACTGGCGAGAACGTCTCCGTGTAGTCGATGCCGTACTTCTGCTGGAGCCTTTTGGCCACGAGTCTCGCCTTGTATTTCTCGATGGATTCATCGGCTTTCCGCTTGATCGTGAACATTCACTTGGTGCCAATGGTGTGTTGTCCAGCTGGCAATTTTGTCGCTCAAAACACGCCGCGAAGTATCATCGAGTCCAACTCGGTACATATCGCTTTGCTTCAATGCACTTGATCCGGTCCTCCAACGACTTTTTTATACGTTGTCGGCTCGGACATGTCTGCAGATCCTTCAACTGCGTTAACACTCGCTCTCCAAAAGATTTGAGGTGTAGCGTCTGTTGGGATGTACGAAGCTTGATAACCGAAACTGGGAAGGATGCTTGAGGAATCCACTCGGAAGACCGGAGAAGACACTTGGGCTGTAGATGGAAGATTGGAAAGTGATTGATTATCGGAGCTTATCTGCCTACGCCATGATTTATGTGTGTCTACTTATATAAATCCGTCGGGGCGTCTAATCACCCTGCTCGTCTGATCATTCCTGCGTAATTACCGATGTAAAACTATCCCGTAAGAACTACATCTTAGAGCTCGGGTTGTTACGGTAACCTTCAATACGCCCCCTCAATCCGAACTCGCATAGATGCCGAGAGCTGTCGTCAAGCCCTTGTGACGAGGTCCCGCAAGCTCCTTGGTTGTGATATCCGCCATCATCACGAAAGTCTCGCAATACTTGAGCTTCACTTCACCGCGCTTGACTTCATCACGGATGTGATGGTACTTGATGTCGAAGTGCTTGGCGCGGCCATGATTAACCGGATTCTTCGTCATCTTGATGCACGACTGGTTGTCTTCACGGATGACGAGGTCCGGTCCTGGTTCGTTTGCGGCCGCTAAAATCTCGCATAGCAGGCGATGCACCCACTTGCCTTCCTGGATGACCAGAATCAGTGCGATGTACTCCGCTTCACTCGTCGACAGCGACACACTTGACTGCTTCGTGCTTCCCCAACTCACAGGAGCACCCATCAGCATGAAAGTGTAACCCGAAGTCGACTTGCGATCAGCAAGATTGCCGGCCCAGTCCGCGTCCGAGTAGCCACAAAAGTCAATCTTGTCGCTTGGCTGAAAGCGGAGTCCTTGCGACTTGGTCCCTTGCAAGTAACGAAAGATTCGCTTGACCGCTGTCCAACGTTCTTGCTGTGGATTCTCCATGTAGCGTGAGACGTAACCCACAGCATACGCAATGTCCGAGCGTGTCGCAGTCGTTAAGTGCATTAGAGCTCCCATTGCTTCACGAAACGGAACGTCAATCTTTACCGCTTCACTGCTTGCGACAAGCCGAGTGCTTAAATAAACCGGACTTGCTGTGGCCTTGCACTCATGCAGGTCGAAACGCTTGAGGATATCGTTGACATATCGTCGGTGGCACATCGTCACGCTGCCACCCAAGCTGTCCACCAGTCCGATGCCTAGTACAAAGTACGCTTTTTACTGTCGGTCATCTCGAGCGCGTCTTGAGATCGGCCTTCGTGTGCGCAATCAACTCGAGCGAGCTGCCGGTCACCAACACGTTATCCACGTAAACCAGCACGAGCACAGTGACTATCGACCACCTTGATGTAGAGATATGGGTCGAACGCTGACACTTCGAAACCGATGGAGCTCACAAACTCGTCATAAGTCTCGTTTCACACCCGCGAAGCTTGCTTGAGACCGTAGATCACCTTCACTAACTCCAAACAATCAGAGTCGTCACACATCTCGACGCCTTCTGGTATCATGCAGTACACCTTCTCCTAAGCCACACCGTAGAGAAAAGCTGTCACCACATCGAGCTGGTCCAGTGGCCAGTCGAAATACTTGGTGATTGCGATTACCATACACAGTGTCACATACTTCACCACGGGCGAGAACGTCTCTGTGTAGTCGATGCCGTACTTCTGCTTGAAGCCCTTGGCAACGAGACGCGCCTTGTATTTTTCGATCGATACATCCGCTTTGCGCTTGATCTTGAACACCCATTTGGCGCCAATCGCGCCTTGGCCTCTTGGCAGTTTTGCTGCGCGAAAATATCACGAAGATGAATAGACTTGAGTTCCACCGTCACAGCACTTCACCAGTGATCTTGATCAGGAACGTTGATTGCGTCTTGGAAAGTCGCAGGTTCTGCCAGGTCCGTTGCTTCCACTGCATTTTCACTTGCACGCCAAAATGTTTGGGGCTTCTAGTCGTCATTTTGATTGTAGACGTCCGCATCTTCTTCTTTTCGGGAGCATTTGATCGTCGTTTCTGGTGACGGTTGGAGACATGTTCCGGCGCACTTGCTTGTTCCAACCCAGTTTGATGGCGAGATGACCGTGACATGCCGGTGCTTGCTTCACTCTTGCGATTTCCAGTCTGCTTGTACGTGGTCTGACGCACGTCGTCATCGTTGATCGCCAGAAGATTGAGGTCCAACTCCGCATCTTCATCGTTGTCCCTTGATCGATCCATCGAAAAGTCAAAAGTCGATTCGTCGAAGGTGATGTCACGACTGATCACCAATGAACCGCCTCAATGTTGTACACCCGGTAAGCCTTTGACGCTTCTTCGTAGCCATGAGCATCCCTTCACGAGCCTTCGTATACCACTTCAGTCGCTTCTCCTTTGGTGTAAGGATGTACGCTTGACATCCGAACACGCGCATACGCTTGACACCCGGTTTCGACTTGTACACGATTTCGAACGGAGTCTTGTGGTCGATCTTGGGTGATGGCAGGCGGTTTTTGATGTAGATCGCCGTCATTGCCGCTTCAGCCCAGAAACACTTCTCGAGATTTGCATGATGCAACAAGCTGCTTCCGATCGTGACGATGGTCCGTATCGCGCGTTCTGCGGTGCTGTTGGTCTGGTGTGCATACGGCACCGTGTCCTGCTGATCAATACCATAATCTTCGTAGAAGGTCTTGATTGAGTTGGTCGCAAACTCGTGTGAACCATCATGCCAAACGAACTTGATCTTATCGCCGAACTGAGTCTGAATCTTGAGAATGTAGTTCGTGTGGTGAAGTCAATCTCACAAAATTTCTTGTGTGAGGTTCGATCTTCCACTTGCCAGACTTGCCGACTCACGGAGGGAGTACAACAATCCGTGCCTTGTTGTATAGCTTTGTGCTCACCTTGTGTACCCGTCGGTTGAGCTTACTTGAGCTCTTCGTAATGGCCTTGGGAGATGTCAATCTCGCTGAGAGTTTGGGTTGAGATTGCGCTTCCAGTGCGGAAATCTTCACACCACGAACTGTGGTTCTGCGATCCTGATCTCGAGTCGCTGCGATCTCTATTTACGGATGTCGCGATCTCGATCTTGGATCACACCGATCTCGATTTGTGTTCGGGATCGGAGTCTTTGCTGTGCGGAAATCTTCACTCAGCAGAGAGTAGCCTTGCGTCGATCTTGTCTTGGGATCGGTCCGATCTGGTCTTGGGATCGGCCGATCTTGCTGAAAGTGCGCAATTTGGGCAGATCGGTCCTTGGTTTCGCCAAAATGAAACGTGCCAATCTGTCCAGTGGATCGCTTCGATCTTGCTCAATCTTGTCTTGAACTCCTTGTCCAGATCTTCTGACCACTTGAGCCGTCTCGCGATCTTGTGTCCAAAATCCTTTTACTTTGTTGCTGCTACCCTAGCAGTTGAGTTGATAGTGAGTACTTGATCGATCCGGGCCAAACTTCCCGAGATCGCTCTTCTCTATCTTGGACAACAATCCAAGATCGGTATTCTGTGTCCTTGTAACATGCGTGCCTTAACCCGCCGGGGAAGCCAAATCAATCTTGCCCGGGGAAGAGGGGAGGAGAACGTGCGTCGTGAGCAGAAGAAGTAGAGTTCAAGTCCGTTTATTAACCAACCAAATTAATAGCCAACCTATTTTTAAGCCTATTCCCAACCGTTGGTCACTCTCTAAGTCGATATCACCTTACAGCTTGACCGCCCCCTTGAACACGTGTCGAAATTTCATGACCTGTACTCCAATGATAGCGCCAATATTCCCGATATCGTACCTAAACGCCAAAAGAGGACCAAATCCCAAATGTGGTACCAAGTACCCGTTTTTGGTACCCAAAAGCCCGAAATAGTGCCCAAATGCCGAATGCGCCAAAATCCATTTTGCGATGTCAATTTAACCGGCTTCCACTGGCTCTTTCGATCTGAACTTTTAAGACGTCACTCATGGACATTCAACAAGCATGTTTATCATGATTCAAAAGTCTCATCAACGATATATCCATAATCAGTGGGGAACATGACCGATCTGATGCCCAATTCGAGATCGTTGAGGATCGACACAGTACAATCCGGACATGTATGTTCTTCCGTTCATTGTGTGTACTTCAATACCATCCCCAAGGGTTTATCTCGCCAATGAGACCATCCACAGTACTTACAACGGTCCCACGGACACCCAAAAACATCCCTACTTCCAGGTCGGGCAATAATTAACCTAAATCAGTACTCCGTTTGGGAGACCCGTAGAGAGTGTCACCGATCTGAAGGATGTTACAGCTTCGTCACAGAGTCATATCACATCACCTAGTCCCAGATCTTTGTCCCAGATCGCTCCATGGAAATCGTTCTACTTGTCGTCTTGTCCCAGATCACTCCGTCTCAGATCGTCCCATACCCATCAGTCTAACGACAGTTGGATCGGATCGCCGATCCTCAATGAGACCGCCTTCCATCTCCTTATCGGATCGCCAGGTCCCATGGCCTCATTTTCCACCAGTAAGTGGCGTCTCAAATATGTGGCCACCGATCCTCGTACAAAATTTTGATTAGTGACTTTGCCACAACCGCCTTCTGAACTGAAGTCCTTTGTACAGCAATTGACCTCAGTGCAGTCACTCATCAACTTCTCTCCAACCACTCAAGTCCGTCTCATGGCCTCTCCGACGCATCTCACCACCACCGATCTCTTCAGAAGGCTCCACCATGCTTCTGTCTCCGGATCGCGATCCGTCACCCGGTTCGCCCGATCACGGAGGACACACTCCAACGGTCCCAGATCGGCCTGGGTCTCCACGTCATCTAGTTCCAGCCGGATCGCCAACGATCGCCACGGGATCGCCAGATCGACGACCAACTAGACCCTCATTTCCAGCCCGGGACCTGCCGTCTGGATCGCCGGATCGCGGGAGGTATGCTCCAATCGTCCCCGATCGACTTGAGTCTCTAAGTGATTTCAGTTCGGTCGGATCGCTCTCGATCGTCACGGGATCGCCAGATCGCCTGTCTGAGTCGCTCTATCTTCCCGAACCTCCGACGACCCTGGGTGCGTTTAGATCCGACACCCTGGCCACTAGTGAGTCTCGTGTAGGGTCTGCTTCAACTGCAGACGTCACCGGCCACGTTCCAAAAAATTTTCTGCCGACGACGCTCGTCTTACGTTGGCTACAATCTCTTATTTAAGGGATCGAGAGGCTGCCTTCTGCAACCAAGCACATACCATTCATGCGCTTCAGCAGTCACACAGAGATGCGGTCGCCCGTGGGGATTGCTTGCAAGACGAGATTGATTCTCTGTGTAGATCAGCCGCCCCCTTCGTCTCTTTCGTCCAGCGTCGATATGATTGGATGCAAGGCCGCTACGTCAACGCAGTGCATTCTTTAAGCGACTGTAAACGAGCTCTGCGGACACATCGAGATCAATCAACACAGATTCTTTGGCTACGCGCTTTGTTACGTGCCAGCAATGAGGATCAAGGCGGCTTGGAACGGCAGGTGAAAACTTTGAGGGCTCAAGTCCATTCGCTCCAAGCCAAACTCAATTCGCTCCAACAGTAGCGTGACCAGCTGACCTCCGACAGGCCTTTCCTTCACATAGACGTTTTGCATTTGAGGGAGGAATTGGATCGGTCTCAGGAGGAGATTGCCGATGGCCTGGCCTCGATCAGCGACCTCGTACAACAATCGGATCGTTTGACTCCTCTGGAGGGTCAGTTGGCACTTTCGCAGATGGAGAACGCCAACCTCCGTCGTCATCTTGCGGAACACCTCACGGTACACGACCAGTTACAGGTGGCGGAGCAAGATCGGGATCGGTCTATAGCAGAACACCGTGCTCTTCTCGACAGTGCTACACTCGGGTCCCGGTTGTCTGCGTTGACCGCTCGACCGACGCCTACAAATGCTACTCCAGCCGGATCGCCACCTGTTTCCGCACCCCAGGGATTGAGATCGCTTGCCCGTAGGTTCAGGTCGAGATAGTCTGGCCCTCCGGCCAAGCGTCGGCATGTTCAGCCAAGCTCACGATCCAGGGATTCTTCCATCACCCGTTCGGCCTCCCGGCTATTGTCGTTGAACCCCTCAACACCTTCCAAGAAACTTCCCAGATCGGCCCCACCCGAGCCTTCATCCAATTCTTCTTCTTTTCCTCCTTCGTCCGCGGCTTCTGGGACTGGATCGGGAAGTGGGGAGCTGAACGAGTCGGACTCTAGCTCGGATGATCTGACCTGTTCCGTGTTCCCCCATTAGAGATCGACCGCTCGTCGTCAACCTAGATCGGATGTCCGATCTTCGACTCCAGACCTCTCTACGGCTGCCTAGGCTAATCCCACTTCATCCGTAGCTACCGCGTTTGATCACGCACTGTCTCGTTCGCCATCTCCAGACGTTCCGGAGTCTCGTTATATTCCGTAATCATCAACTCCGGTCGCAGTTGTCCCCGTAATTGAAATTCAAGATGTTGGCGACTTAGAAGATGTGGAGGTGTAGCCGACAGGGGAAACACACCGCAAGACTGGCTCTCTTAGTCCGCCCCCTGGGTCCCCTGCGCTCCGGATCGCCATTTGTCCGATAGCGACAGTAGCATCACCATTCCGGCGCGCCAAGTGGCAAACAGAGTCCTCTCTCCAGTTGATTTCGGCGATCTTCCATCACTCCAGCAAGCGCGGGATCGGTAGATTCTCAATTATCTGCACCTTCCCGACGGGTAGCTTCCGAGATTGCTCCTTGGTCAGTTTTGCGGATCGCGATGGTCTGCGTGAGGACCATGAGCATTAAATTTGCTATTCTACTACTATTTCAAGCCCAGGAATTTTCTGTTCCCTTCCACCCTCATGGGCGAGCTCCGCCAACGAGGAATCGAGCACCAGGACTGATCTCACGGCGACACATCGAGGATCTCTACGCTACAGCCCCTTGGGATAATATCGTGATCCCTGTGAACCCGATACCGTTCACCATGACTGGATGGTATCGTGATATGAGTCATCGCTACCTGGAGCTTGAGTCCACTCATCGACAAGCTCTATGGGAATCCACTCATGCTTTCCCGATTCCTCCGGCTCAACGGCGATCTGAACGGTTCATGCAGACATTCTGGCGCCAACGAAAGCAACGCCGATATTGCTTTGGAGCACGTTGGAAGATCTTCTTCAAGATGATACTCAGCGGCATAATTGATGGTCACTGCGATCTTGACATCTTGCTATATCCCTTCTTCCTCCACTATCCGCGCCCACATGAAGATCGAGTTTGGTATCCAGGGTTAGGACATTCTAACGACCCAGCCGACTTGCTGAAGGCATTGAACATGGCGGACCAAGAGGATCCTTGGCGCAATCAGTTCCGTAACGCCTGTTGGGATCACCCCGGATGGCAGATCCCTCGTCTACAGGACAAGTTCAAGCCTGCTCCATCATCTAAGTCCAAGAGCGGTGTCCGAGCTTAATCGTCTTTCATAATCGTGTAAGTCATTCAATCATCGTCTTTTTTGGTGCATCATTCTTTGCAGCTTCCACGACCTCGATCCTCCCAGCTTCACATCATTCAGGAAGGTAATTCACTTGACTGTCTCCATACTCACACACAAACCACCATCCGTCAGCATGTGCTACCTATTAGCACATCTTGCAACCTCATCCACCAACATGTGCTACCTCCTAGCACATCTTACAGCCCTTCCATCCGTATATGCTACCTCCCGCATACTTGTTCGAACTGTTAAGGTTCGTCCGACTTGCCTTCGTGAGATTGCATCGCTTCAAAACGGTTTCGACTCACTCAGTTCCGCTCAAACTCTTGCAAGATCGCCCCACAACTCAGATCGGCCTCATCTACCCAACTTAAATCGGGATATCCCTTCCACTTCACCAGAAACTGTCGGTGTACTCGCCCATAACGGATTTTCCGACTAGATCGCACGTCCAATATTTCTTCTACTTCGTATTCCCCTTCTTCAAGATCGCTCTCCCAACTGTCTTCTGGTAACAGAGCTTCGTCAAAGTCCAAGCGATCTCCTTCGTCTATCGTAAGCTGATCCTTTGGCCGTTCAGGGAATGTCTTTACCTTCTTCAGCTTCGATAGACGTACACTCGGAAATAGCCGATATGGGGTCCCAGCGATCTCCAATTTCACAGCGTGATCTCCACATATGTTCACAACTCGGAATGGACCATGCCACACATGCGCTAGCTTCTTCGCACACCCTTCTTCGAATCTATCCAGGTAAAGCCAAACTTATGTACCTACTTCGACCTCGTGTGGTTCCAGATCTTCGTTGTGTCGATCCGCTCGCTCCTGGATTGCAGCCGGTAAATGATCGTTCACCGCAGATCGGGCTCGCTGGTATTGTCTTTGTATTTTGTATCTCCACCTCTTTGGATCGCGATCTCGTGTTCCCGTATTCCTACTGATAGCGTAGCCTCCAAAGTCGATCGCGGGTCCCACCCATGAATCAGATAAAATGGGGTATCCCCCCGGATCCGATCTTGTGCAGTGTTAATGGCAAATGTGAGCCGCTCAGCATACTCATCCCAGTCTCGCTGGTCAACTTCATCCACGTACATCTTGAGCGAATGTGTCAGGGTTTGCACCATTCGTTCGGCTGTTCCATTTGCTTGTGGCCTGTAAGCCATAGTAGCACGCTATTTTTGTCCTACGATCCGACTGAAGGCTCGAAAGAAGTCAGACATAAATCCCGGTTCTCGATCGTGCCTGATAGATTCGCTAGCTTTGAAGCATCGAAACACACATTCTTTGTAATTTCTGCGATCGTTTGTGCGCTCCGTGACGAGCTAACTTTTGCGATCACGTACCCTGAGAAGAGGTCGACCCAAATGAGTAGCTTTGTATTCCCCTTGAGCGACTTGGGCAACGACGGTATATGATCCATTGCGGTAATCTGAAATGGATAGGTCGCTTGGAAATTACCAGGCGATCTCCCACTAATCGTGGGGCATCCCTTTTTCGGTCTCACAGTCGGTATATTCACTCACATATCGTTGCACACTCTAATACAGCCCTTTCCACTGGAATCGCGATCTGATCCTCTGATAATTTCTGCCAATATCTAATGGCTTCCTTCCAGGCTTTCGTAGTAAAGGTGCAAAAATTCTGCCGCAACGTCTCAGGGATCACCAACCGCATTAAACCATCGCGATCTTCGGACTCACTTTTCGCCATGGGGCAGGAAAGAAGTAGATCGTTCTCATCGATCTCGTACTCCATCGCCAGTTTCGCGCACATCTTCACTTCTCCTGCGTCCAGGCTAGATACATCGCCATTCAGATATCCTTAAGATTGACAATCCAACGCTTCTCATCTTGAGCCTGGCCAATTCGTCAAATCCTGATCCTCTGCATCATCTCCTGTAACACTTCAGGTTCATGACGTATTCTCCCGGCCGATCTCGTGATTGCCGTTATTCGAGCAAGCTGAACCGTCTGCTTGGGTTTTAACAATTCATCCAGGCGGTTCAAAGCAATCATATCTCGCTGATCTTCTTCATCTACAACGGTACTTCCCTTTTCATTCTTCAATGCTGTGCTGGCCAGTCGATCTGCACTTTAATTCCATTCTCGCTTTATTTGCAAGAATTCGTGACTCGTCCACAATCTCAAATTCTCCAACGCTCTATGCCTCAGAAGCTGCTGGCCCGGTGCCTTGCAGTCAATCTCACCGCGCATCTGTCAGATCACCATATTGGAGTCTACACAAAAATTGCTCGCCCCCTGTCCAGATTGGCAAGTAACTCGAAGCATTAAAGCAAGCCATTATGCTCAGCTTCGTTCACGGTCAGGTCGAGAGCATATCTGGTTTCCGCTGCCACGATTGACCACTCAGGAAGCCTCCATACCACAGCACTGTACGACCCTCCTTTCTTTTTTGTCCTCTCCGATCCATCGAAACTGACCACTAGCAATTCCTCATCTGCTTCCACTGTTGGAAAGTGGGTTGACATCTTGAGTCGGCAGTCCTTGCGCGGTTATATTGCGATCAGCATCTCTTCTATGTCTTCTCACGGGGTGATACTCGCTGCTAGCATACACATATCTCTTCCTCCCCTCTTTCGCATTTCTTCACCTCCGTAGTCGAGTTCGACAGCAAAGCAGCCCACCGTCCTAATCTCCCGTTGAGCCCTCGAGATTGCATCAACCACGCTAACGTGGAGTGCCGAGTCAACACAGTGATCTCTCGTGAGGTTAATGTGGAAAGCATACATCCAAAACACGAAGTAACGCCAGCACCTCCTTCTCCACCGTCCCGTAGTTAAGCTCGTTAGGCTTAACGTGCGGCTAGTAAACGTCACCGGATGATACACGACATCATACTCCTGTATCAGGGCCGCTGAGACAGCCCACTTGCTAGCGTAGACCACGATTACGGGGGACCGATCTGGGTCGAAATGCTTGAGCATGGGAGCTGTAGCTATCTTAGCCTTTAGCATAGTGAAAGCAACCTTGGCTTCTTTTATCGACCCTCGTTCGACCATTCGTCTCCTGCTGCGAGCTAAGATTGGCCGATATCGAAGAAATGCGATTCTCTTAACTCATACAACACTGCGGCGCACACCGCGAAGTCCTCAATGAAACGGTGGTAGTAGTTCAAGCTCCCGAGAAAAGATTGCATAGCTCGCATCGTGCTAGGGAACGGGGTGTTGACCAAAGACTCCAAGTTCTTGGGCTGAGCCTCCAGACCATCCATCGACACTCGATGTCCCAAATAATCGACCTTGCGGCATCCCCAAAAGCTCTTTGTGAGAATGCTAGACAGGTTATACTTATCACATGCTTCCAGCAACCGTTCTACTTTTGTGTACAAAGATTCTTATTACGTAGCTGGTATAAGAATATCGTCAATGTAAGATCGGCGTCCCAGTATAGAGGGTCGTCGAGCTGTCTCAGGTTCCCCATCTTTGAACACGTCCATCGGGCCATCAGAGGCTGATCTCTGGCCGATATTGAGATATCCATACAGCGCATTGTCAACCAGACGTTGGTAGATCTGGGGCGCGTTCTTAAGCCCAAAAGGCATTTGCAGCCATTCGAACAAGCCAAACGGCGTGACAAACGCTGAGATCAGTTTTGCTCGTTCAGTCATTTCGACGACCCAAAATCCACTAGCCATGTCTAGCGAACAGTACCATAGAGCTTTATCCAGATCTTCCAGCAGTTCGCTGATCAACGGCATGGGATAAACCATCAGACGCGTCAGCTGGTTAACTCTTCGATAATCAATGCAAAGGCGAATATCCACTCCGTTCTTCTTGATGATCACCACTATCGGAGACGCCCAAGGTGACGTGGATGGCTGAACGATTTTGGCTGCTAATAGTCCTTTGATGAGATCTGACAGCTTCTCCCGATATTTGGGTGCGACCGGACGCACTCTTTGTGCTATCGGTGCGGCTTCACCGACATCAATATCACAGATCGCCCCTCGTGCCGCTAGTGGTAGAGCATTTCCCTTCCCCAAAAGAAGGTGACGGCTCTTCCAAATCAGCGATCTGAGTCTTTGTTGATCGGCGGTGAGAGGAACGTCCGGATCGCCGTTCTGAATGTCGTTAATTGTCACTTCTTCCGTAGCAGTGATCATCTCTGGTAACACCGCCAGGTGTTGCTTGATGTCTTCGGCAAAAAAATCCCCACTCTCGTGATAGTAGACTGGTGCTTCTGCGGAGTCAGCTTCGTCGATCTTAGACGGCTTAACCTCTTCAGATCTTTGCGTCGCCTCGGACCTATCCAGTTCTGCTATGTTGTCTGCAAGATTGACGTCCAATGAAGCAGTCTGTTGTCTTGTTCTTCTCGTTCGGTAATTTGATCTCTTCTCATCGCGATCTCGGTTTCGATCTCACGATCGTTATCCTTCGACGATAGATTTGTTTCATCGAGTGGATTTGATTCGACTCCGTTGACCGCTTCTTCCCTTGCAACCACAGTATCTGCCTTTTGCAAGTCGTCGTCGCCATCTTGCTGCGTTACCATGGAGATTGCTGGAGGTATGTCCTTTAACGCATCAGACGGACGCTTCATGATGCATTTGGGAGTGGCGTACGTAGGGCGATCTACCAATGGTCCGATCTGCTCTTTTGGGAGTTCAATCACTCGATCCGTCGTAGCCTCATACGCCAGAGTTTGCCACATCTTGTACTTCCCCGATCCGACCGTCACAAAACCTTGATTTCGTGGTACCATATCGCCTTCGGTCCACAAGTCTAATATCGTGTGGGTGGGCAGTAAGATCTCACGGTCGCCAATGTTGGTCATCTGCAGGTATTTCGTCTTACCCCACCCCGAGATCACAGTGGGGACCCAATCTAGTCCTCTAGCGTCCCACAACTTCATCTTAGCCGCTCCGATCCCGATCTTCACTTCTCTTGACTCTCCGACCGGGATAACCACATGTTGGTCCTTCGCCGTCACATGTTGTATCTTCGATCCGTACGCGGGGCGATGTCCTGCGAGATGAATGCGGGTTTCTTCTGGTAGACATAGCGCGCCATCAGCTAGATCGAGCTGCACTCCGGCAGACACCATAAAGTCCATGCCCAGAATCGCTTCTTGCCCTGCCAGATCGACTACTCATACATTGAAATAGTATACCGGCGATCCCGCGAGGGTTACTTTGATCTTAATACTTCCTATCTTCATGTACGGGGTTTCTCCGATCCCGATACATTCTTGTCTTTGACTTTCGTCAACATTGCAACCGACCTAACGAGCAAAGGTGGTGTTCATGATTGACACTTCAGCACCAGAATCATATAGCATAGTGACCTTTTCGTTGTTGATCTTGCCAACAGCTTTCGCCTGTTTGAACCACTTCCCGGGTGAATAAAGTTTCCAGTATCCGCGAAATTCACCATAAGCGAGCTCGATCTCCATAGCTGGTTCAGATCGTGAGTACTCATCGATCCTCTTCAGGTGGGACACGGAACCGACACGTTTTGACTTCGAACGAGATATATTTGTTTCCATCTCTGTATCCTGCTTACTCTCTCGATCTGTCTTCTTTTTTTCCACGTATGCAATGATGCAGAGCCCAGAACGCTCGGCTCGTACCAGATTCAAACCTGGCGAGCGTCCCAGTTTGACATCTTCTCGGCCTTCTCTGGAAGCATCCCCGCATGCTTGGTTGGGACGCACCACTGGCGGATCGTGTTGTTGAACTCCTCCACAGGACACTTCCCCGGGTCATGCATCTCACCGCAGGCGCGACACACGAAAAAACAATTGTCAGAGGGGTGTCCTTTACGCCCACATTTCTGGCAAGTGAGCCGCTCTCAGCAACCGAGATCTCCATGCTTGGTCGATCCGCAATGAGTACACGGCTTTAATGGCATATTGCGATCTTGATAGTCTTGACGAGTGTTCGGGTCGACCGATCTCGCGTTTGCTGCAACGTCATTGGGAGATGAACGGCGATCCGCAGTAGCAGCCACATGGATCGATCTCAATCGATCTTCCAAATCCGATCCGCAGGTGTCCGATCCTGACTCGCTGCAGACGTCCTCGGTACGGACCATCCTTACCGCTCGTGCAGGCTTAGACAGCGCTGGACCCTGAGTTCCCTTCTGCCTGAATTTGGACGATCCCATCATCACTTTCCCTTGACGCGATCTCCCTTGTTGATATCCATGCCGTGTCTTTTGCATGGCATCCGCGTCTTCTACATTCAGCAGTAGCAATTGATTGGATAGATCGGAGTTTCCCGAGGTGTCAAGGAAATGGTTGACATGTTCCTTGCGCGTAGCTGGCAATCCAGTCATCACCGGTATCTTCGCCTGTATTCCCATCGCGTTAAGACGATACAGGTACTGCAAAGTATCTTCCTCCGATTGTTTTTTTCATGGTAATATTGCCGGCTCGTGAACATCCCGTGTCCCGCATATTCCACAAGAAAACTGTTCATCAATTCTTTTCAATCGAATCTTGTCGATCTACTCAGCTGTCGGTACCAGTAGCGGGCTGGGCCCACCATGAGATCATCGAAGACCAGACATCTCTCTTCGCCCGGTGCTTGGTCCCGGATAAACGCTGACTTCACGTTGTCGATCCAGGTTTGTGCTTTGTCTTCTTCCCGATTCTTCCCTGAGAATTCTTACAGCTCAGATTAAAAATTTATTATATAATTAAAAATTTATTATGTAATATTGAATAAATTTTTTATCTTACTAGTATTCCGCCCCATATTGGATTTGTTAGTAAGTGTCCGACTCCACCGATTCCATCTCCACATCCGGCATGTCATGGCTTTCGTGTGAGGGTTGGAGAAAAGCACGGCGATCTGGGTGGCGGTTCGGCTGTCGATTCATTCTTTGAGCTGTACGTTGATCCACCCCGTACTTCTTCATGGCTGAATTGAAGTACCGACTTAGATCGCCCTCTTCCTGATCATCCAGCCCAGTACGGGTACCGGGAGATCTCCGTGGCTTGTCGCTCCTGGCTTGTCCTTTTAAGGCGTCGGTCTTATCTTGGCCGATCTTGTCCTTTTAAAACGTACCACCCGATGGTCTCAGAGACATCCGACGAATGCTGATGGATCCATCTGACTCGCTCTCGGAGTCCTCCGAGGCGTAGTGGGGCGATCCCGCGGGGTGTTTCCGGAGCGAGTCCGAGGGTGTCCCGATCATGTCTTCAGGAGTATTCGCTTTGCCCACCAGCATTATCATGATCTCCACAAACTCATTCGCCGCGTTCTTCAACTGCTCCAAGCTGCAACTCAGCAGTTCATCTCCATGAAAGGCGTTAGGGCAGACACCCATGTCATCCAACATCTGCAAAATCAAATTGATCTCGTCGACTTTGTTGGTCCCAGGAGGTGGGATCGAGATTGGCTTATCCAGAGGACCAATAAACTTGGGCCTTAATATCTTGAACACTGGGTCCGTCTTGAGCAACGTCTTCAAATGGCCATAATTGTGCTGCCATTTTGCACGCTCCCGCGCTTCACCCGTCGTCTCCTTCTCCCTGGGCGCGATCTTCATTGGGCTATATTCCGTCTTCGGCATCGCGATCTTATCTGGTGTTTCATCGTATTCCTCTTTGGCTCCGATCTTCGATCGCACGGTTTGGCCGATCTGGCGATCTTTGACATCCGATCCCATCGATCTCGTCGTGGATCGTTCCGATGTGGTCGATCTCGCGATTGTGCTCCTCGGCTTGAGGTCTGGCGACCTGTCGAATAAGGCATATGGTTTGGTTTTCGCCGATTTGGTTTTTACCATTGGATCTTCATCCAGCAGATCGCTCTGCAAAGAGCGATCTGCGGTGGCCCCCGAAAAGACCCTAGGAGGGGGTTAAGGTTTATCTTCCACATCGATCTCTCGATCTTCCTCTTTCATTTTCATTTCATCAGAGCCCCGCCCAAAACTCTGATGATCTGAGGATCTTGTGCTTCTGCGTGTCTGCGTCAATCCCTCTGTCACTGACAATTCAATCCCAGGTTCTTGCTTGATCTTGATATCTTCGCCAGTGGAATCACGGTGAAATCCAGAGGCCTCAGAAGATCCGAGCACGCGCACCATTATGGTGAAGCCGATCTCACAAAATTACTTTACTGAATGTCAATCTTCCACTTGCCCAGACTTGCCGACTCACGAAGGGAGTACAACAATCCGTGCTTTGTTGTATAACCTTGTGCTCACCTTGTGTACCCGTCGGTTGGGCTGGCTTGAGCTCTTCGTAATGGCCTTGGGAGATGTCAATCTCGCTGAGGGGTTTGGTTGAGAGTTCGCTTCCAGTGCGGAAATCTTCACACCACGAACAGGGGTTCTGCGATCCTGATCTCGAGTCGCTGCGATCTCTCTTTACGGATGTCGCGATCTCGATCTTGGATCACACCGATCTCGATTTGTGTTCGGGATCGGAGTCTTTGCTGTGCGGAAATCTTCACTCAGCAGAGAGTAGCCTTGCGTCGATCTTGTCTTGGGATCGGTCCGATCTGGTCTTGGGATCGGCCGATCTTGCTGGAAGTGCGCAATTTGGGCAGATCGGTGTCTTTTTTCGCCAAAATGAAACACACCGATCTTTCCAGTGGATCGCTTCGATCTTGCTCAATCTTGTCTTGAACTCCTTGTCCAGATCTTCTGACCACTTGAGCCGTCTCGCGATCTTGTGTCCAAAATCCTTTTACTTTGTTGCTGCTACCCTAGCAGTTGAGTTGATAGTGAGTACTTGATCGATCCGGGCCAAACTTCCCAAGATCGCTCTTCTCTATCTTGGACAACAATCCAAGATCGGTATTCTGTGTCCTTGTAACACGCGTGCCTTAACCCGCCGGGGAAGCCAAATCAATCTTGCCTGGGGAAGAGGGGAGGAGAACGTGCATCGTGAGCAGAAGAAGTAGAGTTCAAGTCCGTTTATTAACCAACCAAATTAATAGCCAACCTATTTTTAAGCCTATTCCCAACCGTTGGTCACTCTCTAAGTCGATATCACCTTACAGCTTGACCGCCCCCTTGAACACGTGTCGAAATTTCATGACCTGTACTCCAATGATAGCGCCAATATTCCCGATATCGTACCTAAACGCCAAAAGAGGACCAAATCCCAAATGTGGTACCAAGTACCCGTTTTTGGTACCCAAAAGCCCGAAATAGTGCCCAAATGCCGAATGCGCCAAAATCCATTTTGCGATGTCAATTTAACCGGTTTCCACCGGCTCTTTCGATCTGAACTTTTAAGACGTCACTCATGGACATTCAACAAGCATGTTTATCATGATTCAAAAGTCTCATCAACGATATATCCATAATCAGTGGGGAACACGACCGATCTGATGCCCAATTCGAGATCGTTGAGGATCGACACAGTACAATCCGGACATGTATGTTCTTCCGTTCATTGTGTGTACTTCAATACCATCCCCAAGGGTTTATCTCGCCAATGAGACCATCCACAGTACTTACAACGGTCCCACGGACACCCAAAAACATCCCTACTTCCAGGTCGGGCAATAATTAACCTAAATCAGTACTCCGTTTGGGAGACCCGTAGAGAGTGTCACCGATCTGAAGGATGTTACAGCTTCGTCACAGAGTCATATCACATCACCTAGTCCCAGATCTTTGTCCCAGATCGCTCCATGGAAATCGTTCTACTTGTCGTCTTGTCCCAGATCGCTCCGTCTCAGATCGTTCCATACGCATCAGTCTGACGACAGTTGGATCGGATCGCCGATCCTCAATGAGACCGCCTTCCATCTCCTTATCGGATCGCCAGGTCCCATGGCCTCATTTTCCACCAGTAAGTGGCGTCTCAAATATGTGGCCACCGATCCTCGTACAAAATTTTGATTAGTGACCTCGCCACGTGAACTTAAGACCGTGACTGGGCGTTGCTTGCAGGTATCTCAGCACACGCTTCAAAGCTTGCCAGTGAGTCGGACATGGGTCAAACAAGAATTGGGATAATGATCCCACTGCAACAGCTAGATCCGGACGTGTGGCGACCATGAGATACATGACGCCTCCGACAGCACTTCGATATGGCACGTTGCACATGGTGTCTTCGTGCTTGCATTCTTGGTCACACATGTTCTTGGTGAGCTTCAGACCGGTATATTGAGGCGTCTTCACTGGCTTGCTGTTATCCATTCCGAACTTGGTCAACACGGACTCGAGGAACTTGGTTTGTCGCACAGTCACCATTCCAGTCTTGCGGTCGTTCTTGATCTCCATGCCGAGAAAGTAATTGAGCTCACCGAGATCCTTCATTTCGAAGCGTGTGCTCAGCGCCATCTTGGTCGACTTGAGTAGTTCGTTGCTGCTGCTGGCCAGGATAAGATCATCAACGTAGAGCACCACGAGAATCTTGACTTGGTCGTCTCGCTTGATGTAGATGCAGTGGTCCGATTCGCTCTTGTTGAATCCCATCTTGATCATGAACTCATCGATCATTTGGTTCCACATGCGTGTTGATTGCTTCAAGTTGTTCAGCGATCTCTTTAGCTTGCCCACATATTCCGGCTGTTTAGCATACAGGTATCGTGCTGGTTGGTCCATGTAGATGTCTTCATCGAGGGAGCCGTTAAGAAACGCTGTCTTGACGTCCATCTGATGTAGCATTAGGCCGTACTTGGCCGCTATGCTGAGCACCACACGAATCAATGTGAACTTGGCCCCTGGTGTGAAAGTTTCTTCATAGTCAACTCCGAATTTCTGTGAGAATCCTTTGGCCACAAGTCTTGCCTTGAAACGTTCAACTTCGCCATTTTGATTCTCCTTGACACGAAACACCCATCGGCACCCGATGGCTTTGCGATCTTTCGGAAGAGGCACGATCTCCCACGTGTCGTTTCTCTGAAGCGAGTCGAACTCCGAGTCACAAGCTTCTTTTCACTTGCCAGAGTCGCTTGATTCCATCGCCGACTTGAATGTAGTCAGCGTTTCCCCCACTGAATCAACGATGTAGGCTGCTTCAAATCCTTTGCAGCCGCTGACACATGCTCAAGCGACGGACCTCTGTACGTTCTTCGCTTAGGACTTGGAATGACGGTAGCTTTCTCAAGTGATTGAGTGCGCGTGTGTCTCTTGATTTTGCTCTTCGAAGACCTGGTGTCTTCGTCTTCATCGTCGCTCGAGTTCATGTCGACGTCAGTTTTACCTTCTTCTTTCTCTACGTCCTCGTCTTGATTGTCAAACTCAACGGCACTTGACTCATCGTTGTAGTTGCGCGGACCTTCATCAAACTTGTCTTCCATGAACGTGGCATCGCGACTGATTTTGATCGCTCCTGTTGACACTTCCTAGAATCGATATGACTTCTGGTGTTCGGCGTACCTCAGGAAACGACAGAGTGATGACTTGGAGTCGAGCTTTGCGCGTTTGTCGAGAGGCACTGGAACATACGCGTGGCATCCAAACACATTAAGGTTGGCCAGAATCCGTTTCTTCATCGTCTACACTTGATATGGAGGCTTGTCTTGGTGGATGGCACGTGTTGGACAGCGTTTTCAAACATCGCCGTCATCACTGCTTCACCCCAGTAGCTCTTTCCCAGTCCAGCATGTTCCATCATATAGCGCGCACACTCGACCAGCGTGCGATTTATTCTCTAAGCTACTCCGTTGAGCTGAGGATTATACGGAAGTGTTAACCTTTGTTGTATCATCCATTCCGCGCAGAATCGTGCCAACTTGTCGGACTTGTACTCACCCCATTGTCGCTTTGAAGGTACTTCACGCGCTTTCCGGTTTGTATTTCGGCCATCGCAGCGTATCCCATGAACTTCACCGCAACTTCAGATTTGCTCTTGATCAGATGCACGACACAGTATCTTGACTTGTCGTCGACGAATGTCACGAAGTACCGTTTTCCACTGAAAGTTGCCATCGACATCGGTCCGCATACGTCGCCGTAAATCACTTTGAGAATTTTGGAGGTGCGAGTTGTAGTGTTCGATTGGAAGCGCACTCGAGTCTGTTTTCCCAGAGCACAACCTTCGCACACGTCCCACTTCTTCACCGAAGATATGTCGACGCCAATTACAATGTTCTTCGTCACGATGCAATTGAGTCCATCATGACCTATGTGGCCAAGCCGAAGGTGCCAGAGGATACGACTTGGTGCCCCCTTGACATCCCGGCGACTTGGCTGCATTTGCTTGTTCCGGCGCCACTGGAGTCATTTGCAGCTTGAACAGTCCTTTACCTTCACCCTTTCGCTTCTCCATAGCACCCATCCTTTGTGAAAGTCACTGGGCCGACATCCTTGGTGAAAGCGGCCGACTGCGAACAGGTTTCTGGATAACTTTGGGATGTGCCACACGTTTGTGAGCACACCTTTCTTTATCCCTTGGAGTGTCTTCATCGACATGACAACGTCGCCACTGCCGATTGCTTGGACGATTTCGTCATCCGTGATCTGAACATCCACAGCGTTAAACACCTTGTAGTTCCGCATGGACTTCTTGGAGCACGTCATGTGCTGCGTCGCCCCGAAGTCGACCAGCAAGATGCCGGTCGATTTAGCAGATGTCGTTTCACCTATCGAGAAGGGGTAGCCGCCCGTGTTGAAAAGACAGCGGCTGTGAAGAAGACACCTCGTCAAGCTGCGTCAAGTGTTGAAGCAAGTGGAAGACCAAGCCTCGCTATACCGGTGGGTACCGGTATGTACCAGTAAGGGCGAAGTCAGGAAATGACGTCACTGGATGACGTCATTGCATGACGTCAGTGGGTGACGTCACTGGATGACGTCACTGCGAATAATAGGCTTAGAGGTAGTATTCAAAGTTGCGAACTAAGTACCTATTATAAATATATATTCACTTTGCGTTTTGCACTCGGACCAAGAAGTCTAAAGTTCATCAGGTTATGAGCCCAAGTTCGTCAGACTCTGAAACCGCCAACAATTCAAGCTTAGCTGCCATGGACGCCTCCTCCCTCCGCATCTCCAAGTTCGATGGAACTAACTTCCACGCCTGGAAGTTCAAGATGCAGATGGTGCTGGAGGAACGGGACCTATGGGAGGTCGTCAGCGGTGAGATCAAGGCGGAACAGTGCGAGACTCAGTTGGACCAAGCGACGTACAAGAGGAAGTCAAGAAAGGCGATGGCAGTGATCTGTCTAGCCATGGAAGATTCCCAGCTACCGTTGGTCCGGTCGGCAAGTGGTGCATGCGACGCATGGTCAAGGTTGGAAGACCACTTCGAGAAGAAGAGTCTTGCCAACAAGCTGTTCTTGCGCCGTCGCTTCTTCACGACAATGATGGAAGAAGGCGACGATGTGCTCGAACACATCAACAAGCTCAAGACGCTGGCGGAACAGCTAGAAGCGGTGGGGGCTCCAGTCTGCGAGGACGATCTGGTGATCACACTCCTCGGCAGCCTGAGTGACTCGTATCAATTCTTGATCACAGCTTTGGAGTCGCGCTCAGACACTCTTAGCTGGGAGCTCGTGACGTCTCGACTGCTTCATGAAGAAATGAAGCGGAAGGAGCAAGGAAGTAAAGGTGATGAAGCTTCGCAAGGTCAAGCGTTCATCACAAGGGACAATCAGCGCAAAGGGCGACCAGTGAAGAAGTCCTGGCCGTGCCACAATTGCGGAAAGATTGGTCACTGGATGGCGGAGTGCCCCTCGCGCATCCAAGAAAACACGGAGAGACACCGGCCACAGCGTGCTCAAGACAGCGGCGACCGCTATCGATCACAACGTGCAAACGTCGCTCAAGAAGAAGACTCGGGCGACTACCTCTTTTCGATCGGTGAAACGACATCTGCGAAATCGAGCGACATCTGGCTGGTCGACTCCGGGGCGACGCAGCACATGACGTGCTCCAAGAAGTTCATGCGGAACTACAAGGGGTTTGACGCTGTGGATGTCCATCTCGCGGATGATGGAATCGTCCAAGCAATCGGCAGTGGGGACATTGTCATGTCGATGAAGACACCCCAAGGGATGAAGAAAGGTGTGCTCACAAACGTGTGGCACATCCCAAAGTTATCCAGAAACCTGTTCTCGGTCGGCCGCTTCACCAAGGATGTCGGCCCAGTGACGTTCACGAAGGATGGGTGCTATGGAGAAGCGAAAGGGACCAAGTGGAAAATTGGTGCCCGTGAAGGTAAAGGACTGTTCAAGCTGCAAATGACTCCAGTGGCGCCGGAACAAGCAAATGCAGCCAAGTCGTCGGGATGTCAAGGGGGCACCAAGTCGTACCTCTGGCACCTTCGGCTTGGCCACATAGGTCACGATGGACTCAATTGCATCGTGACGAAGAACATTGGAATTGGCATCGACATATCTTCGGTGAAGAAGTGGGACGTGTGTGAAGGTTGTGCTCTGGGAAAACAGACTCGAGTGCGCTTCCAATCAAACACTACAGCTCGCACCTCCAAACTCCTCGAAGTGATTCACAGCGACGTATGCGGACCGATGTCGATGGCAACTTTCAGTGGAAAACGGTACTTCGTGACATTCATTGATGACAAGTCAAGATACTGTGTCGTCTATCTGCTCAAGAGCAAATCTGAAGTTGCGGCGAAGTTCATGGAATACGCTGCGATGGCCGAAACGCAAACCGGAAAGCGCGTGAAGTACCTTCAAAGCGACAATGGGGGTGAATACAAGTCCGACAAGCTGGCACGATTCTGCGCGGAACGGGGAATACAACAAAGGTTCACACCCCCATATACTCCTCAGCTAAACGGAGTAGCTGAGAGAATGAATCGCACGCTGGTCGAGTGTGCGCGTTGCATGATGGAACACGCTGGACTGGGAAAGAGCTACTGGGGTGAAGCAGTGATGACGGCGATGTTTCTTCGAAACCGCTGTCCAACACGTGCCATTCACCAAGACAAGTCTCCATATCAAGTGTGGACGATGAAGAAACCGATTCTGGCCAACCTTAAAGTGTTTGGATGCCACGCGTATGTTCAAGTGCCTCAAGACAAACGCGCGAAGTTCGACTCCAAGTCATCACTCTGTCGTTTCCTGGGATACGCCGAACACCAGAAGTCATATCGATTTGAGGAAGTGTCAACAGGAGCGATCAATATCAGTCGCGATGCCACATTCATGGAAGACAAGTTTGATGAAGGTCCGCGCAACTACAACGATGAGTCAAGTGTCGTTGAGTTTGATGATCATGATGAGGACGAAGAAAAAGAAGAAGGTAAAACTGACGACGACATGGACTCGAGCGACGATGACAACGAAGACACCAGGTCTTCGAAGAGCAACATCAAGAGACACACGCGCACTCAATCACTTGAGAAAGCTACCGTCATTCCAAGTCCCAAGCGAAGAACATACAGAGGTCCGTCGCTTGAGCATGTGTCAGCGGCTGCAATGGATTTTGAAGCAGCCTACATCGTTGATTCAGTGGGGAAACGCCGACTACATTCAAGTCGGCGATGGAATCAAGCGACTCCGGCAAGTGGAAAGAAGCGTGTGACTCGGAGTTCGACTCGCTTCAGAGAAACGACACGTGGGAAATCGTGCCTCTTCCGAAAGGTCGCAAGGCCATCGGGTGCCGATGGGTTTTTCGTGTAAAGGAGAATCAAGATGGCGAAGTTGAACGTTTCAAGGCAAGACTTGTGGCCAAAGGATTCTCACAGAAATTCGGAGTTGACTATGAAGAAACTTTCGCACCGGTGGCCAAGTTCACATCGATTCGTGTGGTGCTCAGTATGGCGGCTAAGTACGGCCTAATGCTACATCAGATGGACGTCAAGACAGCGTTTTTTAACGGCTCCCTCAACGAAGACATCTACATGGACCAGCCGGACGGATACCTGGATGGAACACAGCCGGACTATGTGTGCAAGCTAAAGAGATCACTCTACGGCTTGAAGCAATCGCCTCGCATGTGGAACCAAACAATCGATGGGTTCATGATCAAGATGGGATTCAAGAAGTGCGAATCGGACCACTGCATCTACATCAAGCGAGACGACCAAGACATGATTCTCGTGGTACTCTACGTCGATGATCTCATCCTGGCCAGCAGCAACAACGAACTCCTCAAGTCAACCAAGATGGCGCTGAGCAAACGCTTCGAAATGACGGATCTCGGTGAGCTCGATTACTTTCTCGGCATGGAGATCAAGAACGACCGTAAGACGGGAATGGTGACTGTGCGACAAACCAAGTTCCTCAAGTCCGTGTTAACCAAGTTCGGAATGGATAACAGCAAGCCAGTGAAGACGCCTCAAGATCCCGGCCTGAAGCTAACCAAGAACATGTGTGAACAAGAATGCAAGCACGAAGACACCATGTGCAACGTGCCATATCGAAGTGCTGTCGGAGGCATCATGTATCTCATGGTCGCCACACGTCCGGATCTAGCTGCTGCAGTGGGATCATTATCCCAGTTCTCGTCCGACCCATGCCCGACTCACTGGCAAGCTTTGAAGCGTGTGCTGAGATACCTGCAAGCAACGCCCAATCATGGTCTTGAGTTTACACGTGAAGAAGGAAGCCGTATCTGCGGGTACACCGACGCAGACTGGGCCGGCGACATTGAGTCAAGACGAAGTACAAGCGGCTATGTGTTCATGATGAGCGGAGGATGCATCAGCTGGAAAAGCCAGAAACAACGGACGGTCGCGCTATCTTCAACAGAAGCAGAATACATGGCGCTTTCCGAAGCAACCAAAGAAGCAGTATGGCTCAAAGTGCTTTTGGGGGAACTTGGTGAGATGACAAGCGACGAAGCGATCAAGATGTATGAAGACAACCAAGGATCAATCGCTCTCGCCAAGAACCCGGAGTTCCATAAGAGAACAAAACACATCGACATACGCTACCATTTTGTGCGTGAGAAGGTGGAATCAGGTGAAGTCGTTTTGGAGTATTGCCCGACTCAAGATATGCTGGCAGACATGATGACCAAGCCGATCGCCGCTGTACAATTTGAAAACATTCGCGATCGACTTGGGATCCAAGGTGCCGCAGCTAACGAGTCGAGAGGGAGTGTTGAAAAGACAGCGGCTGTGAAGAAGACACCTCGTCAAGCTGCGTCAAGTGTTGAAGCAAGTGGAAGACCAAGCCTCGCTATACCGGTGGGTACCGGTATGTACCAGTAAGGGCGAAGTCAGGAAATAACGTCACTGGATGACGTCATTGCATGACGTCAGTGGGTGACGTCACTGGATGACGTCACTGCGAATAATAGGCTTAGAGGTAGTATTCAAAGTTGCGAACTAAGTACCTATTATAAATATATATTCACTTTGCGTTTTGCACTCGGACCAAGAAGTCTAAAGTTCATCAGCCCGAGCCTTCTTCTTGAGCGACATTTGCACGTTGTGATCGATAACGGTCGCCGCTGTCTTGAGCGCACTGTGGACGGTGTCTCTCCGTGTTTTCTTGAATGCGCGAGGGGCACTCCGCCATCCAGTGACCAATCTTTCCGCCATTGTAACACGGCCAGGACTTCTTCACTGGTCGCCCTTTGCGCTGGTTGTCCCTTGTGATGAATGCTTGACCTTGCGAAGTATCATCACCTTTACTTACTTGCTCCTTCCGCTTCATTTCTTCATGAAGCAGTCGACACGTCACGAGCTACCAGCTAAGAGTGTCTGAGCGCGACTCCAAAGCTGTGATCAAGAATTGATACGAGTCACTAAGGTTGCCGAGAAGTGTGATCACCAGATCGTCTTTTTTGCTTGACCTCAATGATGAATAGCCGCGTCTGGTGGAGTACAAGCAAACAGGCAAGCGCAAAAACCGCCTCAGTGATGAAGATACAGCAGCTCCACGACCGCGTGCAGTGCGTCAACGATCTGGACTTGAAAAGTCAAGCGCGCCGGAAAGCAACTCGTCACGCCAAGAAGAAGACGAAGAAACGAAGGATTCTGATGAATCAACTCCGCCTGTGTTTTGTTGTGCGAGTGCGAATGCCGTTGAAACAGCAGCGGACTTATCGGAGCCCTCAACATTTGAGGCGGCAGTGAGCGGCCTTGACCAAGTTTATTGATCAAGCTATTCATTAAGAGCTTGAGTCAACGCGACTTCGCAGTGTGGTTAGTGCAGCCAAGCTTCCCAACGGACAACGCGCCATTGGCACAAAATGGGTGTTCAAGATCAAGATCAAGGCAGGTGGTTCAATCGAGAAGTACTAAACACGACTTGTGGCCAAGGGCTGTTAAAGTTTGAAGAGCACTGGACGAGAGAACGAAGCTTGAAGAACGCTGAAGAAGTCTGCACTGCGAAGTGTAGACGACTTGTGCTGAAGAAGGAATATTTGGAAGTGAATTTATTTGTGGGTTTTGTTAAAGCTACCTGATCTATCTCTGCACTGATTTATATGTTGTCCACATATAAATCATGAATCATAAATCATGTAGGTCATCCAATCATCCTATGCGTCTAATCATTGGTAAAAACTCACCGTAATTACGCGGGATCGACTTGGACAGGTTTACGGTTCCCATGGTAGCTGGTAACAGTACCTCAACCGTCAACCCACAATACGCCCCCTCAATGCGAACACGCGTGTATGCCGAGCGCTGCCGTCAAGTCCTTGTGACGCGGTCCTGGCAGTCCCTTCGTCATGATGTCCGCCAACATGATCGTAGTCTCACAGTACTCCAACTTGACATCACCACGCTTGACTTCATCACGAATGTGGTGGTACTTGATGTCGATGTGCTTGGCCCGACCATGGTTCACCGGATTCTTCGTCATCTTGATGCACGACTGGTTGTCTTCCATGATCTTGAGCTCGGGTCCAGACTTGTCCTCTGCGGCATCCAGAATCTAGCACAGCAATCGATGCACCCACTTGCCTTCTTGAATCGCCAGACTTAGTGCAATGTACTCAGCTTCACTTGTTGACAGCGACACACTTGACTGCTTTTTGCTTCCCCAGCTCACCGGAGCACCCATCAGGATAAACGCGTATCCTGAAGTCGACTTGCGGTCTGCATGGTCGCCGGCCCAGTCTGCATCCGAGTAGCCACAGAAGTCTATCTTGTCATCAGGCTTGAAACAGATACCGTGCGACTTAGTCCCTTGTAAGTATCGCAAAATGCGCTTGACCGCCATCCAGTGCTCGACTTGGGGGTTCTCCATGAAGCGCGAAACGTAACTCACAGCAAAGGCAATGTCCGGTCGTGTCGCGGTCATCAAGTGCATCAGAGCGCCTACTGCTTCACGAAACGGGGCGTCGATTTTAGTTGCTGCGGTACTTGGTATGAGTCGAGAACTGATGTCTGTTGGGCTGGTGACGGCTTTGCAGTCGCCCATGCCAAAACGCTTGAGAACATCTTCCACGTAGCGTCGCTGGCACATCGTCACGCTACCGTCGTCCTTGTCCACCAGCTCGATGCCCAACACGAATGCGCACTTCCCACTGTCGGTCATTTCGAAACGTGCCTTTAAGACACTCTTGGTGCGCATAATCAGTTCGGTTGAGCTGCCAGTCACCAACACATCATCGACGTATACCAGCAAAAGCACGCACTCGCCACTTGTAATCTTGAGATAAAGACACGGGTCAAAATCGGATACTTTAAATCCAATGGAGCAGACGAACTCATGAAAAGTCTCGTTCCATACGCGCGATGCTTGTTTTAGTCCGTAGATCGCCTTGACCAGTTCAAAGCAGTCAAAGTCTTCATCAACTTCGACTCCTTCTGGGATCGCGCAGAATACCTTTTCCTTCATTTCTCCGTAAAGGAAAGATGTCACCACGTCCAGTTGGTCCAGTGTCCAGCCAAAGTACTTCGTGATTACAACCACCATGCGCAGCGTCACGTACTTGACTACCGGCGAAAACGTTTCCGTGTAGTCGATGCCATATTTCTGCTTGAACCCTTTTGCCACGAGGCGCGCCTTGTATTTCTCGATGGATCCATCAGCTTTCCGTTTGATCTTGAATACCCACTTGGTGCCAATGGTATGCTGTCCAGACGGCAGTTTGGTCGCTCGAAACACGCCACGAAGTTTCATCGAGTCCAACTCGGCACAGATTGCCTTACGCCAATGCACTTGATCTGGTCCACCAACAGCATCTCCAAACGTTGTCGGCTCAGACAAGTCAGAACCTTCGACTGCATTGGCACTCGCTCGCCAAAAGACTTGAGGTGTAGCATCCTCGTTATCTTCGTCACTGCCCTTTTGCTCTTCGTCCAGATTGTCTCGAGCGCTTGATCGTCGCTTCGCTTGGTGCGATTCAGAGTCATCCGGGGCACTTGCTTCTTCTAACCCGGTTCCACGACGCTCAAGAAGTGTCCGTTGTAGAACTTGTTCTTGACTGTTTGAACGGCTTTTGCGTTTTCCAGTTTGCTTGAACTGCATGGGGTGAGGCTCATCGCTGATGTTCATCGATTCGATATCCAGCGCAGTGTCATCAACAATTTCTTGTGGTAGCATCGGCGAGAAACCAAGCGTTGATTCGTCGAATGTGACATCGCGAGATATCACCACTTGGTCCGCTTCAATGTCGTAAACGCGATATGCCTTTGACACTTCTTCGTACCCCATGAATAGTCCTTCACGAGCCTTTGGATCCCATTTCGATCTCTTTTCCTCAGTGTAAAAAGTAGAAGTTAAGTCAAGTAAATCACTTTTATATTACCGCGCACCAGACGCGTTTCGGCCCCCCGCCGGGGGCCTCATCAGTGGTTTGTCAATCTACAAGTGAGAACTACCCATACGTCTAGCTGCCGTACGACCTATAATAATGCATAGAACCCTAAAGAACATTCTAGACATACCCTATCATGGGTCGAATCTCTGGAGTCGAATCCAGTGCATCATGCACTTACAACACTTAGGGGTCAGCACAAACGTTCGGCAGCTGAAAACCCGCATGTGCTTCACACTTGGTCGAAATCCGTTGACGATCTCGAACGGGGTTTAATCTTGGCACTTGGGCGATGGTAGGCGATTCTTGATGTAGATTGCCGTCATTGCTGCTTCAGCCCAAAAACACTTGTCCAGCTTGGCGTAGTGAAGCATGCTGCGCCCGATCGTCACAATAGTCCGAATTGCCCGTTCCGCCGTGCCGTTGGTCTGATGCGCATATGGAACGGTAACTTGCTGCTCGATTCCTTGATCATCGTAAAATGCCTTGAGCGAATTTGCCGCAAATTCTCGTGCACCATCGTGTCGAACGAACTTGACCTTGTAGTCAAACTGCGTCTGTACTGCCATGATGTACTTCTTGATGCACTCTTCGCTGTCGGATTTGGCGCGCAGACTGAAACCCTTCATACATCCGCTGCCTTCATCGACGATCAGTAGCAAGTACTTGCTTCCACCTAGCGAGTCGACTTCCATTGGACCACAAGTGTCGATGTGTAGAAGCTCAAACGGATCGTAGTGGCGCTTGTTTGGATTGCTCGGGAACGGTCGTTGAACCATTTTTCCTTCTAGACAACCTTGACACACGCTTGATCCGCTCAATTTTGCTGGCTTCTTGGCATCCTTGATCATGCCCTTGGAGACCATTCTGCACAAGACATCAAACGCCACTCGATCATAGTCACAGTTGCTGTTGCCGTTGTAGCCTTGCCACTGAACTTGATTCGCTCCGCGTCCACATGCATTGCCGCCGCGTCGAGCTCCCGATTGTCTTCCTTCTGCTTGGTCCTGATGAACTTTAGACTTCTTGGTCCGAGTGCAAAACGCAAAGTGAATATATATTTATAATAGGTACTTAGTTCGCAACTTTGAATACTACCTCTAAGCCTATTATTCGCAGTGACGTCATCCAGTGACGTCACCCACTGACGTCACCCACTGACGTCATGCAATGACGTCATCCAGTGACGTCATTTCCTGACTTCGCCCTTACTGGTACATACCGGTACCCACCGGTATAGCGAAGCTTGGTCTTCCACTTGCTTCAACACTTGACGCAGCTTGACGAGGTGTCTTCTTCACAGCCGCTGTCTTTTCAACACTCCCTCTCGACTCGTTAGCTGCGGCACCTTGGATCCCAAGTCGATCGCGAATGTTTTCAAATTGTACAGCGGCGATCGGCTTGGTCATCATGTCTGCCAGCATATCTTGAGTCGGGCAATACTCCAAAACGACTTCACCTGATTCCACCTTCTCACGCACAAAATGGTAGCGTATGTCGATGTGTTTTGTTCTCTTATGGAACTCCGGGTTCTTGGCGAGAGCGATTGATCCTTGGTTGTCTTCATACATCTTGATCGCTTCGTCGCTTGTCATCTCACCAAGTTCCCCCCCAAAAGCACCTTGAGCCATACTGCTTCTTTGGTTGCTTCGGAAAGCGCCATGTATTCTGCTTCTGTTGAAGATAGCGCGACCGTCCGTTGTTTCTGGCTTTTCCAGCTGATGCATCCTCCGCTCATCATGAACACATAGCCGCTTGTACTTCGTCTTGACTCAATGTCGCCGGCCCAGTCTGCGTCGGTGTACCCGCAGATACGGCTTCCTTCTTCACGTGTAAACTCAAGACCATGATTGGGCGTTGCTTGCAGGTATCTCAGCACACGCTTCAAAGCTTGCCAGTGAGTCGGGCATGGGTCGGACGAGAACTGGGATAATGATCCCACTGCAGCAGCTAGATCCGGACGTGTGGCGACCATGAGATACATGATGCCTCCGACAGCACTTCGATATGGCACGTTGCACATGGTGTCTTCGTGCTTGCATTCTTGTTCACACATGTTCTTGGTTAGCTTCAGGCCGGGATCTTGAGGCGTCTTCACTGGCTTGCTGTTATCCATTCCGAACTTGGTTAACACGGACTTGAGGAACTTGGTTTGTTGTACAGTCACCATTCCCGTCTTACGGTCGTTCTTGATCTCCATGCCGAGAAAGTAATCGAGCTCACCGAGATCCGTCATTTCGAAGCGTTTGCTCAGCGCCATCTTGGTTGACTTGAGGAGTTCGTTGTTGCTGCTGGCCAGGATGAGATCATCGACGTAGAGTACCACGAGAATCATGTCTTGGTCGTCTCGCTTGATGTAGATGCAGTGGTCCGATTCGCACTTCTTGAATCCCATCTTGATCATGAACCCATCGATTGTTTGGTTCCACATGCGAGGCGATTGCTTCAAGCCGTAGAGTGATCTCTTTAGCTTGCACACATAGTCCGGCTGTGTTGCATCCAGGTATCCGTCCGGCTGGTCCATGTAGATGTCTTCGTTGAGGGAGCCGTTAAGAAACGCTGTCTTGACGTCCATCTGATGTAGCATTAGGCCGTACTTAGCCGCCATACTGAGCACCACACGAATCGATGTGAACTTGGCCACCGGTGCGAAAGTTTCTTCATAGTCAACTCCGAATTTCTGTGAGAATCCTTTGGCCACAAGTCTTGCCTTGAAACGTTCAACTTCGCCATCTTGATTCTCCTTTACACGAAAAACCCATCGGCACCCGATGGCCTTGCGACCTTTCGGAAGAGGCACGATTTCCCACGTGTCGTTTCTCTGAAGCGAGTCGAACTCCGAGTCACACGCTTCTTTCCACTTGCCGGAGTCGCTTGATTCCATCGCCGACTTGAATGTAGTTGGCGTTTCCCCACTGAATCAACGATGTAGGCTGCTTCAAAATCCATTGCAGCCGCTGACACATGCTCAAGCGACGGACCTCTGTATGTTCTTCGCTTGGGACTTGGAATGACGGTAGCTTTCTCAAGTGATTGAGTGCGCGTGTGTCTCTTGATGTTGCTCTTCGAAGACCTGGTGTCTTCGTTGTCATCGTCGCTCGAGTCCATGTCGTCGTCAGTTTTACCTTCTTCTTTTTCTTCGTCCTCATCATGATCATCAAACTCAACGACACTTGACTCATCGTTGTAGTTGCGCGGACCTTCATCAAACTTGTCTTCCATGAATGTGGCATCGCGACTGATATTGATCGCTCCTGTTGACACTTCCTCAAATCGATATGACTTCTGGTGTTCGGCGTATCCCAGGAAACGACAGAGTGATGACTTGGAGTCGAACTTCGCGCGTTTGTCTTGAGGCACTTGAACATACGCGTGGCATCCAAACACTTTAAGGTTGGCCAGAATCGGTTTCTTCATCGTCCACACTTGATATGGAGACTTGTCTTGGTGAATGGCACGTGTTGGACAGCGGTTTCGAAGAAACATCGCCGTCATCACTGCTTCACCCCAGTAGCTCTTTCCCAGTCCAGCGTGTTCCATCATGCAACGCGCACACTCGACCAGCGTGCGATTCATTCTCTCAGCTACTTCGTTTAGCTGAGGAGTATATGGGGGTGTGAACCTTTGTTGTATTCCCCGTTCCGCGCAGAATCGTGCCAGCTTGTCGGACTTGTATTCACCCCCATTGTCGCTTTGAAGGTACTTCACGCTCTTTCCGGTTTGCGTTTCGGCCATCGCAGCGTATTCCATGAACTTCGCCGCAACTTCAGATTTGCTCTTGAGCAGATAGACGACACAGTATCTTGACTTGTCATCAATGAATGTCACGAAGTACCGTTTTCCACTGAAAGTTGCCATCGACATCGGTCCGCATACGTCGCTGTGAATCACTTCGAGGAGTTTGGAGGTGCGAGCTGTAGTGTTTGATTGGAAGCGCACTCGAGTCTGTTTTCCCAGAGCACAACCTTCACACACGTCCCACTTCTTCACCGAAGATATGTCGATGCCAATTCCAATGTTCTTCGTCACGATGCAATTGAGTCCATCGTGACCTATGTGGCCAAGCCGAAGGTGCCAGAGGTACGACTTGGTGCCCCCTTGACATCCCGACGACTTGGCTGCATTTGCTTGTTCCGGCGCCACTGGAGTCATTTGCAGCTTGAACAGTCCTTTACCTTCACGGGCACCAATTTTCCACTTGGTCCCTTTCGCTTTTCCATAGCACCCATCCTTCGTGAACGTCACTGGGCCGACATCCTTGGTGAAGCGGCCGACCGAGAACAGGTTTCTGGATAACTTTGGGATGTGCCACACGTTTGTGAGCACACCTTTCTTCATCCCTTGGGGTGTCTTCATCGACATGACAATGTCCCCACTGCCGATTGCTTGGACGATTCCATCATCCGCGAGATGGACATCCACAGCGTCAAACCCCTTGTAGTTCCGCATGAACTTCTTGGAGCACGTCATGTGCTGCGTCGCCCCGGAGTCGACCAGCCAGATGTCGCTCGATTTCGCAGATGTCGTTTCACCGATCGAAAAGAGGTAGTCGCCCGAGTCTTCTTCTTGAGCGACGTTTGCACGTTGTGATCGATAGCGGTCGCCGCTGTCTTGAGCACGCTGTGGCCGGTGTCTCTCCGTGTTTTCTTGGATGCGCGAGGGGCACTCCGCCATCCAGTGACCAATCTTTCCGCAATTGTGGCACGGCCAGGACTTCTTCACTGGTCGCCCTTTGCGCTGATTGTCCCTTGTGATGAACGCTTGACCTTGCGAAGCTTCATCACCTTTACTTCCTTGCTCCTTCCGCTTCATTTCTTCATGAAGCAGTCGAGACGTCACGAGCTCCCAGCTAAGAGTGTCTGAGCGCGACTCCAAAGCTGTGATCAAGAATTGATACGAGTCACTCAGGCTGCCGAGGAGTGTGATCACCAGATCGTCCTCGCAGACTGGAGCCCCCACCGCTTCTAGCTGTTCCGCCAGCGTCTTGAGCTTGTTGATGTGTTCGAGCACATCGTCGCCTTCTTCCGTCATTGTCGTGAAGAAGCGACGGCGCAAGAACAGCTTGTTGGCAAGACTCTTCTTCTCGAAGTGGTCTTCCAACCTTGACCATGCGTCGCATGCACCACTTGCCGACCGGACCAACGGTAGCTGGGAATCTTCCATGGCTAGACAGATCACTGCCATCGCCTTTCTTGACTTCCTCTTGTACGTCGCTTGGTCCAACTGAGTCTCGCACTGTTCCGCCTTGATCTCACCGCTGACGACCTCCCATAGGTCCCGTTCCTCCAGCACCATCTGCATCTTGAACTTCCAGGCGTGGAAGTTAGTTCCATCGAACTTGGAGATGCGGAGGGAGGAGGCGTCCATGGCAGCTAAGCTTGAATTGTTGGCGGTTTCAGAGTCTGACGAACTTGGGCTCATAACCTGATGAACTTTAGACTTCTTGGTCCGAGTGCAAAACGCAAAGTGAATATATATTTATAATAGGTACTTAGTTCGCAACTTTGAATACTACCTCTAAGCCTATTATTCGCAGTGACGTCATCCAGTGACGTCACCCACTGACGTCACCCACTGACGTCATGCAATGACGTCATCCAGTGACGTCATTTCCTGACTTCGCCCTTACTGGTACATACCGGTACCCACCGGTATAGCGAAGCTTGGTCTTCCACTTGCTTCAACACTTGACGCAGCTTGACGAGGTGTCTTCTTCACAGCCGCTGTCTTTTCAACAGGTCCAGCACTTTTCCACCGTGTGCCCCAATTTTCCGCAGAACGTACACTGACGAACCTCACGCTCGGTACTGAAGGCCTTGGTCGCTTCTTCAGTTTTCACCGATGTCGTCTTTTTCCCTTGTCTCTTGATGTGCTCATTCGTCAGCACTTTCACGACGTCTTGCGTCCGCAGTTCCGCGCTGCTCATCTCCAAGTTCAGCACGACGTTCTCGTAGCTCTTGGGGAGGCTGCACAACAAGCAGATCGCCACGTCCTCATCCTCCATCTTGGCGCCGATGCTGCTGAGCTTGGCGCTGATGTTGAGAACTTCATTGCAATGATGCATCACATTGCCGCCTTCCGCCATCTCCATGCTGAACAGCTGCCGCTTCAAGAAGATCCGTCCCGCCTTCTGCGATCCGCCGTAGAGAGTCTTCAACCGTGTCCACGCAACCCATGCCTCGTCGCAGTCATCAACCACGTGATGATAGTCCGCGCTCATGTGAAGTAACATCAAGCCGAACGCAATGTTGTTCGTCTTGACGTACTCATCACTGGCGCGAGGATCGGCGAAGGTGGGGGTGGTCTCCCGGTTGACCACGTGCCACGTCGACTTGGTCAGGAACACGCCACGCATGTAGCGGCTCCACGTCGCGTAGTTGTCTCCATCGAATCTATCGATAGAGATCTTGGTGGCGGAATCTTGAGCAGAGGACATCGTGCTTGGGCTCATAACCTGTTAAAGTCTGAAGAGCACTGGACGAGAGAACGAAGCTTGAAAAACGCTGAAGAAGTCTGCACTGTGAAGTGTAGACGACTTGTGCTGAAGAAGGAATGTTTGGAAGTGAATTTATTTGTGGGTTTTGTTAAAGCTACCTGATCTATCTCTGCACTGATTTATATGTTGTCCACATATAAATCATGAATCATAAATCATGTAGGTCATCCAATCATCCTATGCGTCTAATCATTGGTAAAAACTCACCGTAATTACGCGGGATCGACTTGGACAGGTTTACGGTTCCCATGGTAGCTGATAACAGTACCTCAACCGTCAACCCACAATAAGGGCTTTCGCCAAAAGTATGGCATCGACTACACGGAGACATTTTCGCTCGTGGTCAAACATGTGACACTGCGAATGGTGATCGCAATTTCCAAGCACTTTGGATGGCTCATCGACCAGCACGATGTGGTGACGGCTTTCCTGTATAGCTTCATGAAGGAACAAGTGCTCTGTGTGATTCCTGAAGGCGTTGAGCTTGATAGTAAGTTCGACTGCCTGGAATTGGTGAAGTCAATTTGCGGCCTCAAGCAAGCGTCGCGAGTGTGGAATGCGACATTCGACGAGTTTGTGTACTCCATTGGATTTCAAGTATCGGACTTCGACCCATGTCTCTACATCAATACTTCGGTCGGCCATCGTGTGTTTGTACTGGTCTACGTGGACGACGTTTCAATGACTGGAAGCTCGCTTGAGCTGATTGCACGAACCAAGAACGACCTGAAGACACGTTTCGAGATGACAGACAGCGGCAAGTGTGCATTTGCTCTTGGGATTGAGATTCTGGACGGTGAAGACGGCAGTGTGTCTATGTGTCAGCGCCGTTATGTCAATGATATCCTCAAGTGCTTTGGAATGGAGGAGTGCAAGGCTGTGGCGAGTCCTGTGGATGTCAGCTCTCGACTGATGTCAAGCAACAGTGCGAGCAAGATCGATGTTCCATTCCGTGAAGCTGTTGGTGCTTTGATGCATCTGACGACTACAACAAGACCGGACATCGCCTATGCTGTGAGCTTTGTGTCGCGCTTCACGGAAAATCCCCAAGAAGAACACTGGGTTGCGGTCAAGCGCTTCTTTCGATACCTGGAGAATCCCCAAGACGAATAATGGGTTGCGGTCAAGCTCATTATTTGATACCTACAAGGCGCCAAGATGCATGGAATTTGCTACAAGCCAAGTGTGAAGATCGACTTTCGTGGCTATTCGGACGCAGACTGGGCCGCCGACCTTTCTGATCACAAGTCAACGTCTGGCTACGTCTTCATACTATTGGGTGCTCCAGTGAGTTGGTCCAGCAAGAAGCAGCCAAGTGTGTCACTGTCTGCAATTGAAGCGGAGTACATTGCGCTTGAGTCTGGCGATTCAAGAAGGCAAGTGGATCCACTGCTTACTATGCGAGATCATGGCGGCTACTAACGAGGACAGACCCGAGCTCATGATCCGTGAAGACGAATAGCCTTGCATCAAATGACCTAGAATCCAGTCAATCACGGCCGCGTCATACACATTGATATCAAGTACCACCACACTCGCGGTGAAGTGAAGCTTAAATACTGCAAAACGACGGTGATGATGGCCGACATTATGACCAAGGGACTTCACCGACCGCGCCACATGGAATTAACGGCGGCGCTAGGCATCTGTCCGCGTTCGGATTGAGGGGGCGTGTTGACGGTCATCGGTTTTCTACCAGTATTGGTAACCGTGACCGGTTCAATCCGAACCACCTGCTCAGCTTATTATTTACGACGTAGTTCTTACGATAATTATCCATAGTTGGTCAGACGAGTAAGATGACGAGAAGCTTCACATAATTTACATGTACACTGTTAATTTCTGAAGAGCACTGGACGAGAGAACGAAGCTTGAAGAACGCTGAAGAAGTCTGCACTGCGAAGTGTATACGACTTGTGCTGAAGAAGGAATATTTGGAAGTGAATTTATTTGTGGGTTTTGTTAAAGCTACCTGATCTATCTCTGCACTGATTTATATGTTGTCCACATATAAATCATGAATCATAAATCATGTAGGTCATCCAATCATCCTATGCGTCTAATCATTGGTAAAAACTCACCGTAATTACGCGGGATCGACTTGGACAGGTTTACGGTTCCCATGGTAGCTGATAGCAGTACCTCAACCGTCAACCCACAATAACATTCCAGACATGCTCTTGGTCGTTGAAAGTTCGCATTTCAGCGAAACAGCAAACGCCACTCGATCATAGTCACAGTTGCTGTTGCCGTTGTAGCCTTGCCACTGAACTTGATTCGCTCCGCGTCCACGTGCATTGCCGCCGCGTCGAGCTCCCCGATTGTCTTCCTTCTGCTTGGTCCAGCACTTTTCCACCGTGTGCCCCAATTTTCCGCAGAACGTACACTGACGAACCTCACGCTCGGTACTGAAGGCCTTGGTCGCTTCTTCAGTTTTCACCGATGTCGTCTTTTTCCCTTGTCTCTTGATGTGCTCATTCGTCAGCACTTTCACGACGTCTTGCGTCCGCAGTTCCGCGCTGCTCATCTCCAAGTTCAGCACGACGTTCTCGTAGCTCTTGGGGAGGCTGCACAACAAGCAGATCGCCACGTCCTCATCCTCCATCTTGGCGCCGATGCTGCTGAGCTTGGCGCTGATGTTGAGAACTTCATTGCAATGATGCATCACATTGCCGCCTTCCGCCATCTCCATGCTGAACAGCTGCCGCTTCAAGAAGATCCGTCCCGCCTTCTGCGATCCGCCGTAGAGAGTCTTCAACCGTGTCCACGCAACCCATGCCTCGTCGCAGTCATCAACTACGTGATGATAGTCCGCGCTCATGTTGTTGAAAAGACAGCGGCTGTGAAGAAGACACCTCGTCAAGCTGCGTCAAGTGTTGAAGCAAGTGGAAGACCAAGCTTCGCTATACCGGTGGGTACCGGTATGTACCAGTAAGGGCGAAGTCAGGAAATGACGTCATTGCATGACGTCAGTGGGTGACGTCAGTGGGTGACGTCACTGGATGACGTCACTGCGAATAATAGGCTTAGAGGTAGTATTCAAAGTTGCGAACTAAGTACCTATTATAAATATATATTCACTTTGCGTTTTGCACTCGGACCAAGAAGTCTAAAGTTCATCAGGTTATGAGCCCAAGTTCGTCAGACTCTGAAACCGCCAACAATTCAAGCTTAGCTGCCATGGACGCCTCCTCCCTCCGCATCTCCAAGTTCGATGGAACTAACTTCCACGCCTGGAAGTTCAAGATGCAGATGGTGCTGGAGGAACGGGACCTATGGGAGGTCGTCAGCGGTGAGATCAAGGCGGAACAGTGCGAGACTCAGTTGGACCAAGCGACGTACAAGAGGAAGTCAAGAAAGGCGATGGCAGTGATCTGTCTAGCCATGGAAGATTCCCAGCTACCGTTGGTCCGGTCGGCAAGTGGTGCATGCGACGCATGGTCAAGGTTGGAAGACCACTTCGAGAAGAAGAGTCTTGCCAACAAGCTGTTCTTGCGCCGTCGCTTCTTCACGACAATGATGGAAGAAGGCGACGATGTGCTCGAACACATCAACAAGCTCAAGACGCTGGCGGAACAGCTAGAAGCGGTGGGGGCTCCAGTCTGCGAGGACGATCTGGTGATCACACTCCTCGGCAGCCTGAGTGACTCGTATCAATTCTTGATCACAGCTTTGGAGTCGCGCTCAGACATTCTTAGCTGGGAGCTCGTGACGTCTCGACTGCTTCATGAAGAAATGAAGCGGAAGGAGCAAGGAAGTAAAGGTGATGAAGCTTCGCAAGGTCAAGCGTTCATCACAAGGGACAATCAGCGCAAAGGGCGACCAGTGAAGAAGTCCTGGCCGTGCCACAATTGCGGAAAGATTGGTCACTGGATGGCGGAGTGCCCCTCGCGCATCCAAGAAAACACGGAGAGACACCGGCCACAGCGTGCTCAAGACAGCGGCGACCGCTATCGATCACAACGTGCAAACGTCGCTCAAGAAGAAGACTCGGGCGACTACCTCTTTTCGATCGGTGAAACGACATCTGCGAAATCGAGCGACATCTGGCTGGTCGACTCCGGGGCGACGCAGCACATGACGTGCTCCAAGAAGTTCATGCGGAACTACAAGGGGTTTGACGCTGTGGATGTCCATCTCGCGGATGACGGAATCGTCCAAGCAATCGGCAGTGGGGACATTGTCATGTCGATGAAGACACCCCAAGGGATGAAGAAAGGTGTGCTCACAAACGTGTGGCACATCCCAAAGTTATCCAGAAACCTGTTCTCGGTCGGCCGCTTCACCAAGGATGTCGGCCCAGTGACGTTCACGAAGGATGGGTGCTATGGAGAAGCGAAAGGGACCAAGTGGAAAATTGGTGCCCGTGAAGGTAAAGGACTGTTCAAGCTGCAAATGACTCCAGTGGCGCCGGAACAAGCAAATGCAGCCAAGTCGTCGGGATGTCAAGGGGGCACCAAGTCGTACCTCTGGCACCTTCGGCTTGGCCACATAGGTCACGATGGACTCAATTGCATCGTGACGAAGAACATTGGAATTGGCATCGACATATCTTCGGTGAAGAAGTGGGACGTGTGTGAAGGTTGTGCTCTGGGAAAACAGACTCGAGTGCGCTTCCAATCAAACACTACAGCTCGCACCTCCAAACTCCTCGAAGTGATTCACAGCGACGTATGCGGACCGATGTCGATGGCAACTTTCAGTGGAAAACGGTACTTCGTGACATTCATTGATGACAAGTCAAGATACTGTGTCGTCTATCTGCTCAAGAGCAAATCTGAAGTTGCGGCGAAGTTCATGGAATACGCTGCGATGGCCGAAACGCAAACCGGAAAGCGCGTGAAGTACCTTCAAAGCGACAATGGGGGTGAATACAAGTCCGACAAGCTGGCACGATTCTGCGCGGAACGGGGAATACAACAAAGGTTCACACCCCCATATACTCCTCAGCTAAACGGAGTAGCTGAGAGAATGAATCGCACGCTGGTCGAGTGTGCGCGTTGCATGATGGAACACGCTGGACTGGGAAAGAGCTACTGGGGTGAAGCAGTGATGACGGCGATGTTTCTTCGAAACCGCTGTCCAACACGTGCCATTCACCAAGACAAGTCTCCATATCAAGTGTGGACGATGAAGAAACCGATTCTGGCCAACCTTAAAGTGTTTGGATGCCACGCGTATGTTCAAGTGCCTCAAGACAAACGCGCGAAGTTCGACTCCAAGTCATCACTCTGTCGTTTCCTGGGATACGCCGAACACCAGAAGTCATATCGATTTGAGGAAGTGTCAACAGGAGCGATCAAGATCAGTCGCGATGCCACATTCATGGAAGACAAGTTTGATGAAGGTCCGCGCAACTACAACGATGAGTCAAGTGTCGTTGAGTTTGATGATCATGATGAGGACGAAGAAAAAGAAGAAGGTAAAACTGACGACGACATGGACTCGAGCGACGATGACAACGAAGACACCAGGTCTTCGAAGAGCAACATCAAGAGACACACGCGCACTCAATCACTTGAGAAAGCTACCGTCATTCCAAGTCCCAAGCGAAGAACATACAGAGGTCCGTCGCTTGAGCATGTGTCAGCGGCTGCAATGGATTTTGAAGCAGCCTACATCGTTGATTCAGTGGGGGAAACGCCGACTAAATTCAAGTCGGCGATGGAATCAAGCGACTCCGGCAAGTGGAAAGAAGCGTGTGACTCGGAGTTCGATTCGCTTCAGAGAAACGACACGTGGGAAATCGTGCCTCTTCCGAAAGGTCGCAAGGCCATCGGGTGCCGATGGGTTTTTCGTGTAAAGGAGAATCAAGATGGCGAAGTTGAACGTTTCAAGGCAAGACTTGTGGCCAAAGGATTCTCACAGAAATTCGGAGTTGACTATGAAGAAACTTTCGCACCGGTGGCCAAGTTCACATCGATTCGTGTGGTGCTCAGTATGGCGGCTAAGTACGGCCTAATGCTACATCAGATGGACGTCAAGACAGCGTTTCTTAACGGCTCCCTCAACGAAGACATCTACATGGACCAGCCGGACGGATACCTGGATGCAACACAGCCGGACTATGTGTGCAAGCTAAAGAGATCACTCTACGGCTTGAAGCAATCGCCTCGCATGTGGAACCAAACAATCGATGGGTTCATGATCAAGATGGGATTCAAGAAGTGCGAATCGGACCACTGCATCTACATCAAGCGAGACGACCAAGACATGATTCTCGTGGTGCTCTACGTCGATGATCTCATCCTGGCCAGCAGCAACAACGAACTCCTCAAGTCAACCAAGATGGCGCTGAGCAAACGCTTCGAAATGACGGATCTCGGTGAGCTCGATTACTTTCTCGGCATGGAGATCAAGAACGACCGTAAGACGGGAATGGTGACTGTACAACAAACCAAGTTTCTCAAGTCCGTGTTAACCAAGTTCGGAATGGATAACAGCAAGCCAGTGAAGACGCCTCAAGATCCCGGCCTGAAGCTAACCAAGAACATGTGTGAACAAGAATGCAAGCACGAAGACACCATGTGCAACGTGCCATATCGAAGTGCTGTCGGAGGCATCATGTATCTCATGGTCGCCACACGTCCGGATCTAGCTGCTGCAGTGGGATCATTATCCCAGTTCTCGTCCGACCCATGCCCGACTCACTGGCAAGCTTTGAAGCGTGTGCTGAGATACCTGCAAGCAACGCCCAATCATGGTCTTGAGTTTACACGTGAAGAAGGAAGCCGTATCTGCGGGTACACCGACGCAGACTGGGCCGGCGACATTGAGTCAAGACGAAGTACAAGCGGCTATGTGTTCATGATGAGCGGAGGATGCATCAGCTGGAAAAGCCAGAAACAACGGACGGTCGCGCTATCTTCAACAGAAGCAGAATACATGGCGCTTTCCGAAGCAACCAAAGAAGCAGTATGGCTCAAAGTGCTTTTGGGGGAACTTGGTGAGATGACAAGCGACGAAGCGATCAAGATGTATGAAGACAACCAAGGATCAATCGCTCTCGCCAAGAACCCGGAGTTCCATAAGAGAACAAAACACATCGACATACGCTACCATTTTGTGCGTGAGAAGGTGGAATCAGGTGAAGTCGTTTTGGAGTATTGCCCGACTCAAGATATGCTGGCAGACATGATGACCAAGCCGATCGCCGCTGTACAATTTGAAAACATTCGCGATCGACTTGGGATCCATGGTGCCGCAGCTAACGAGTCGAGAGGGAGTGTTGAAAAGACAGCGGCTGTGAAGAAGACACCTCGTCAAGCTGCGTCAAGTGTTGAAGCAAGTGGAAGACCAAGCTTCGCTATACCGGTGGGTACCGGTATGTACCAGTAAGGGCGAAGTCAGGAAATGACGTCACTGGATGACGTCATTGCATGACGTCAGTGGGTGACGTCAGTGGGTGACGTCACTGGATGACGTCACTGCGAATAATAGGCTTAGAGGTAGTATTCAAAGTTGCGAACTAAGTACCTATTATAAATATATATTCACTTTGCGTTTTGCACTCGGACCAAGAAGTCTAAAGTTCATCAGGTTATGAGCCCAAGTTCGTCAGACTCTGAAACCGCCAACAATTCAAGCTTAGCTGCCATGGACGCCTCCTCCCTCCGCATCTCCAAGTTCGATGGAACTAACTTCCACGCCTGGAAGTTCAAGATGCAGATGGTGCTGGAGGAACGGGACCTATGGGAGGTCGTCAGTGGTGAGATCAAGGCGGAACAGTGCGAGACTCAGTTGGACCAAGCGACGTACAAGAGGAAGTCAAGAAAGGCGATGGCAGTGATCTGTCTAGCCATGGAAGATTCCCAGCTACCGTTGGTCCGGTCGGCAAGTGGTGCATGCGACGCATGGTCAAGGTTGGAAGACCACTTCGAGAAGAAGAGTCTTGCCAACAAGCTGTTCTTGCGCCGTCGCTTCTTCACGACAATGATGGAAGAAGGCGACGATGTGCTCGAACACATCAACAAGCTCAAGACGCTGGCGGAACAGCTAGAAGCGGTGGGGGCTCCAGTCTGCGAGGACGATCTGGTGATCACACTCCTCGGCAGCCTGAGTGACTCGTATCAATTCTTGATCACAGCTTTGGAGTCGCGCTCAGACACTCTTAGCTGGGAGCTCGTGACGTCTCGACTGCTTCATGAAGAAATGAAGCGGAAGGAGCAAGGAAGTAAAGGTGATGAAGCTTCGCAAGGTCAAGCGTTCATCACAAGGGACAATCAGCGCAAAGGGCGACCAGTGAAGAAGTCCTGGCCGTGCCACAATTGCGGAAAGATTGGTCACTGGATGGCGGAGTGCCCCTCGCGCATCCAAGAAAACACGGAGAGACACCGGCCACAGCGTGCTCAAGACAGCGGCGACCGCTATCGATCACAACGTGCAAACGTCGCTCAAGAAGAAGACTCGGGCGACTACCTCTTTTCGATCGGTGAAACGACATCTGCGAAATCGAGCGACATCTGGCTGATCGACTCGGGTGCGACGCAGCACATGACGTGTTCCAAGAAGTTCATGCGGAACTACAAGGGGTTTGACGCTGTGGATGTCCATCTCGCGGATGATGGAATCGTCCAAGCAATCGGCAGTGGCGACATTGTGATGACAATGAAGACACCCCAAGGGATGAAGAAAGGTGTGCTCACAAACGTGTGGCACATCCCAAAGTTATCCAGAAACCTGTTCTCGGTCGGCCGCTTCACCAAGGATGTCGGCCCAGTGACGTTCACGAAGGATGGGTGCTATGGAGAAGCGAAAGGGACCAAGTGGAAAATTGGTGCCCGTGAAGGTAAAGGACTGTTCAAGCTGCAAATGACTCCAGTGGCGCCGGAACAAGCAAATGCAGCCGAGTCGTCGGGATGTCAAGGGGGCACCAAGTCGTACCTCTGGCACCTTCGGCTTGGCCACATAGGTCACGATGGACTCAATTGCATCGTGACGAAGAACATTGGAATTGGCATCGACATATCTTCGGTGAAGAAGTGGGACGTGTGTGAAGGTTGTGCTCTGGGAAAACAGACTCGAGTGCGCTTCCAATCAAACACTACAGCTCGCACCTCCAAACTCCTCGAAGTGATTCACAGCGATGTATGCGGACCGATGTCGATGGCAACTTTCAGTGGAAAACGGTACTTCGTGACATTCATTGATGACAAGTCAAGATACTGTGTCGTCTATCTGCTCAAGAGCAAATCTGAAGTTGCGGCGAAGTTCATGGAATACGCTGCGATGGCCGAAACGCAAACCGGAAAGCGCGTGAAGTACCTTCAAAGCGACAATGGGGAGTGAATACAAGTCCGACAAGCTGGCACGATTCTGCGCGGAACGGGGAATACAACAAAGGTTCACACCCCCATATACTCCTCAGCTAAACGGAGTAGCTGAGAGAATGAATCGCACGCTGGTCGAGTGTGCGCGTTGCATGATGGAACACGCTGGACTGGGAAAGAGCTACTGGGGTGAAGCAGTGATGACGGCGATGTTTCTTCGAAACCGCTGTCCAACACGTGCCATTCACCAAGACAAGTCTCCATATCAAGTGTGGACGATGAAGAAACCGATTCTGGCCAACCTTAAAGTGTTTGGATGCCACGCGTATGTTCAAGTGCCTCAAGACAAACGCGCGAAGTTCGACTCCAAGTCATCACTCTGTCGTTTCCTGGGATACGCCGAACACCAGAAGTCATATCGATTTGAGGAAGTGTCAACAGGAGCGATCAAGATCAGTCGCGATGCCACATTCATGGAAGACAAGTTTGATGAAGGTCCGCGCAACTACAACGATGAGTCAAGTGTCGTTGAGTTTGATGATCATGATGAGGACGAAGAAAAAGAAGAAGGTAAAACTGACGACGACATGGACTCGAGCGACGATGACAACGAAGACACCAGGTCTTCGAAGAGCAACATCAAGAGACACACGCGCACTCAATCACTTGAGAAAGCTACCGTCATTCAAGTCCCAAGCGAAGAACATACAGAGGTCCGTCGCTTGAGCATGTGTCAGCGGCTGCAATGGATTTTGAAGCAGCCTACATCGTTGATTCAGTGGGGGAAACGCCGACTACATTCAAGTCGGCGATGGAATCAAGCGACTCCGGCAAGTGGAAAGAAGCGTGTGACTCGGAGTTCGATTCGCTTCAGAGAAACGACACGTGGGAAATCGTGCCTCTTCCGAAAGGTCGCAAGGCCATCGGGTGCCGATGGGTTTTTCGTGTAAAGGAGAATCAAGATGGCGAAGTTGAACGTTTCAAGGCAAGACTTGTGGCCAAAGGATTCTCACAGAAATTCGGAGTTGACTATGAAGAAACTTTCGCACCGGTGGCCAAGTTCACATCGATTCGTGTGGTGCTCAGTATGGCGGCTAAGTACGGCCTAATGCTACATCAGATGGACGTCAAGACAGCGTTTCTTAACGGCTCCCTCAACGAAGACATCTACATGGACCAGCCGGACGGATACCTGGATGCAACACAGCCGGACTATGTGTGCAAGCTAAAGAGATCACTCTACGGCTTGAAGCAATCGCCTCGCATGTGGAACCAAACAATCGATGGGTTCATGATCAAGATGGGATTCAAGAAGTGCGAATCGGACCACTGCATCTACATCAAGCGAGACGACCAAGACATGATTCTCGTGGTGCTCTACGTCGATGATCTCATCCTGGCCAGCAGCAACAACGAACTCCTCAAGTCAACCAAGATGGCGCTGAGCAAACGCTTCGAAATGACGGATCTCGGTGAGCTCGATTACTTTCTCGGCATGGAGATCAAGAACGACCGTAAGACGGGAATGGTGACTGTACAACAAACCAAGTTTCTCAAGTCCGTGTTAACCAAGTTCGGAATGGATAACAGCAAGCCAGTGAAGACGCCTCAAGATCCCGGCCTGAAGCTAACCAAGAACATGTGTGAACAAGAATGCAAGCACGAAGACACCATGTGCAACGTGCCATATCGAAGTGCTGTCGGAGGCATCATGTATCTCATGGTCGCCACACGTCCGGATCTAGCTGCTGCAGTGGGATCATTATCCCAGTTCTCGTCCGACCCATGCCCGACTCACTGGCAAGCTTTGAAGCGTGTGCTGAGATACCTGCAAGCAACGCCCAATCATGGTCTTGAGTTTACACGTGAAGAAGGAAGCCGTATCTGCGGGTACACCGACGCAGACTGGGCCGGCGACATTGAGTCAAGACGAAGTACAAGCGGCTATGTGTTCATGATGAGCGGAGGATGCATCAGCTGGAAAAGCCAGAAACAACGGACGGTCGCGCTATCTTCAACAGAAGCAGAATACATGGCGCTTTCCGAAGCAACCAAAGAAGCAGTATGGCTCAAAGTGCTTTTGGGGGAACTTGGTGAGATGACAAGCGACGAAGCGATCAAGATGTATGAAGACAACCAAGGATCAATCGCTCTCGCCAAGAACCCGGAGTTCCATAAGAGAACAAAACACATCGACATACGCTACCATTTTGTGCGTGAGAAGGTGGAATCAGGTGAAGTCGTTTTGGAGTATTGCCCGACTCAAGATATGCTGGCAGACATGATGACCAAGCCGATCGCCGCTGTACAATTTGAAAACATTCGCGATCGACTTGGGATCCAAGGTGCCGCAGCTAACGAGTCGAGAGGGAGTGTTGAAAAGACAGCGGCTGTGAAGAAGACACCTCGTCAAGCTGCGTCAAGTGTTGAAGCAAGTGGAAGACCAAGCTTCGCTATACCGGTGGGTACCGGTATGTACCAGTAAGGGCGAAGTCAGGAAATGACGTCACTGGATGACGTCATTGCATGACGTCAGTGGGTGACGTCAGTGGGTGACGTCACTGGATGACGTCACTGCGAATAATAGGCTTAGAGGTAGTATTCAAAGTTGCGAACTAAGTACCTATTATAAATATATATTCACTTTGCGTTTTGCACTCGGACCAAGAAGTCTAAAGTTCATCACTCATCACTGGCGCGAGGATCGGCGAAGGTGGGGATGGTCTCCCGGTTTACCACGTGCCACGTCGACTTGGTCAGGAACACGCCACGCATGTAGCGGCTCCACGTCGCGTAGTTGTCTCCATCGAATCTATCGATAGAGATCTTGGTGGCGGAATCTTGAGCAGAGGACATCGTGCTTGGGCTCATAACCTGTTAAAGTCTGAAGAGCACTGGACGAGAGAACGAAGCTTGAAAAACGCTGAAGAAGTCTGCACTGCGAAGTGTAGACGACTTGTGCTGAAGAAGGAATGTTTGGAAGTGAATTTATTTGTGGGTTTTGTTAAAGCTACCTGATCTATCTCTGCACTGATTTATATGTTGTCCACATATAAATCATGAATCATAAATCATGTAGGTCATCCAATCATCCTATGCGTCTAATCATTGGTAAAAACTCACCGTAATTACGCGGGATCGACTTGGACAGGTTTACGGTTCCCATGGTAGCTGATAACAGTACCTCAACCGTCAACCCACAATAAGGGCTTTCGCCAAAAGTATGGCATCGACTACACGGAGACATTTTCGCTCGTGGTCAAACATGTGACACTGCCAATGGTGATCGCAATTTCCAAGCACTTTGGATGGCTCATCGACCAGCACGATGTGGTGACGGCTTTCCTGTATAGCTTCATGAAGGAACAAGTGCTCTGTGTGATTCCTGAAGGCGTTGAGCTTGATAGTAAGTTCGACTGCCTGGAATTGGTGAAGTCAATTTGCGGCCTCAAGCAAGCGTCGCGAGTGTGGAATGCGACATTCGACGAGTTTGTGTGCTCCATTGGATTTCAAGTGTCAGGCTTCGACCCATGTCTCTACATCAATACTTTGGTTGGCCATCGTGTGTTTGTACTGGTCTACGTGGACGACGTTTTAATGACTGGAAGCTCGCTTGAGCTGATTGCACGAACCAAGAACGACCTGAAGACACGTTTCGAGATGACAGACAGCGGCAAGTGTGCATTTGCTCTTGGGATTGAGATTCTGGACGGTGAAGACGGCAGTGTGTCTATGTGTCAGCGCCGTTATGTCAATGATATCCTCAAGTGCTTTGGAATGGAGGAGTGCAAGGCTGTGGCGAGTCCTGTGGATGTCAGCTCTCGACTGATGTCAAGCAACAGTGCGAGCAAGATCGATGTTCCATTCCGTGAAGCTGTTGGTGCTTTGATGCATCTGACGACTACAACAAGACCGGACATCGCCTATGCTGTGAGCTTTGTGTCGCGCTTCACGGAAAATCCCCAAGAAGAACACTGGGTTGCGGTCAAGCGCTTCTTTCGATACCTGGAGAATCCCCAAGACGAATAATGGGTTGCGGTCAAGCTCATTATTTGATACCTACAAGGCGCCAAGATGCATGGAATTTGCTACAAGCCAAGTGTGAAGATCGACTTTCGTGGCTATTCGGACGCAGACTGGGCCGCCGACCTTTCTGATCACAAGTCAACGTCTGGCTACGTCTTCATACTATTGGGTGCTCCAGTGAGTTGGTCCAGCAAGAAGCAGCCAAGTGTGTCACTGTCTGCAATTGAAGCGGAGTACATTGCGCTTGAGTCTGGCGATTCAAGAAGGCAAGTGGATCCACTGCTTACTATGCGAGATCATGGCGGCTACTAACGAGGACAGACCCGAGCTCATGATCCGTGAAGACGAATAGCCTTGCATCAAATGACCTAGAATCCAGTCAATCACGGCCGCGTCATACACATTGATATCAAGTACCACCACACTCGCGGTGAAGTGAAGCTTAAATACTGCAAAACGACGGTGATGATGGCCGACATTATGACCAAGGGACTTCACCGACCGCGCCACATGGAATTAACGGCGGCGCTAGGCATCTGTCCGCGTTCGGATT